CACTCAATCTGCCATGGTACAAAGGTATAGAAGATCTCCGACAAAGCCTTCAGTCAGTATCATCTCGCAGGTTGACCTACCCCAACCAATTCAAAACAGCACTACGTAGTACTTTTATTAACTGTTGGAACGATGAGCGGCAAAACAACCGGAAGCTCAGTTTCTACAACACTATCAAAAGTGAATTTACAGCTGAAGCGTACCTGAACCTGCAGCTCAGTGGAGAAGAGGTGAAGCGGCTGGCGCAGTTCAGAATGAGTGCTCATAAGTTCAACATCGAGACCGGTAGATACGCCATCAACCGTGAAAATCCGCTCAGTCGCATTTGTAAGCACTGTTCTTCATCAGACCTTGAAGCTGTCGGTATACTGGCCGAACTACCAATGTTTGAGCCGATCATTGAAGATGAGAAACACGTTCTCACGGATTGTTCGCTTTACGACGACCTGAGGAGAAACATAGGTCAGCAGGCGAGAACCATGATCACCTCTGGAGCGGAGACCTTTGCCGACCTCTTCAAGGATATCCTATTGATCAGAGAAACTGCCAGATTCTTGAGTAAAGTGAACAAGCGGAGGTTCCCCCCGAGTGACAGAAAAGAAAAGGAAGGACCTACAACATGACTCACGGACTCAACATGCGAAACGTGGATCCGACAGTGTGTTATTTTTCGTGTGCGTTTCACACTTTTGATTTAGTGTGGAATTTATGTGTGGATCTTAGACATGGACACAAAGGACTGGTTGTTCGCGTCATGAACATTCCTTTTTAGAATAGCTCGGTTTTTAAACTCTTTAGACTATAACCGTCAACCGTGCATTTTTCAGGACAGGTTTCGGTTTTTTCGTTTTTGACTTTCATTTTATCTTTATTTTTTAAAATTTAGATCCGACACAATGTTTATTGTAATGATCATTTTATTTTGAAATCCTTTGAAATCCTTTGTGTACGAGTTTGGGAGAAATTCTATGTGCCAAACTTGAGATATGACTTCAAACACAAGAAAATATCTCCAAATTGGCGGTTTCGGCGGGACACAGGAATATATTTCAAGATCTGACTGATCGATTTTCTTTAAACTTTCCAGATAGTTACATGGCTATAAGACGGATAATCCGTGCAAGTTTAGGCGAATTTCTCTGTGCCAAACTTGATATATGACTTCAAACACGACAAAACTGTACCATAATATGGATTGGTCGAAAATCGAGTGTTTTAGTGAATAACTTAGAATATATTTTCGATTTTCTCAAGATCTGACCAATAGATTTTCTTTAAACTTTCCAGATAGTTACATGGCTATATGACGGATAATGTGTACGAGTCTGGGAGAATTTCTATGTGCCAAACTTGAGATATGACTTCAAACACAAGAAAATATCTCCAAATTGGCGGTTTCTAACGGAACACAGGCATATATTTCGAGATCTAATTGATCGATTTTCTTTAAACTTTCCAGATAGTTCCATGGCTATAAGACGGATAATCCGTGCAAGTTTAGGCGAATTTCTCTGTGCCAAACTTGATATATGACTTCAAACACGACAAAACTGTACCATAATATGGATTGGTCGAAAATCGAGTGTTTTAGTGAATAACTTAGAATATAATATTATATATTTTCAATTTTCTCAAGATCTGACTAATAGATTTTCTTTAAACTTTCCAGATAGTTACATGGCTATAAGACGGATAATCCATGCGAGTTTGGGCGAATTTCTATGTGCCAAACTTGATATATGACTTCAAACACGACAAAACTGTACCATAATATGGATTGGTCGAAAATCGAGTGTTTTAGTGAATAACTTAGAATATATTTTCAATTTTCTCAAGATCTGACCGATAGATTTTCTTTAAACTTTTTAGATGGTTACATCACTATATGACGGATAATGTGTACGAGTTTGGGAGAAATTCTATGTGCCAAACTTGAGATATGACTTCAAACACAAGAAAATATCTCCAAATTGGCGGTTTCGGCGGAATTACACAGGAATATATTTCAAGATCTGACTGATAGATTTTCTTAAAACTTTCCAGATAATTACATGGCTATATGACGGATAATTTGTACGAGTTTGGGAGAATTTCTATGTGCCAAACTTGATATATTCCTGTGTTCCGCCGAAACCGCAAATTTGGAGATATTTTCTTGTGTTTGAAGTCATATCTCAAGTTTAGCACATAGAAATTCGCCCAAACTCGTACACATTATCCGTCTTATAGCCATGTAACTATCTGGAAAGTTTAAAGAAAATGTATCAGTCAGATCTTGAAATATATTCCTGTGTTCCGCCGAAACCGCCAATTTGGAGATATTTTCTTGTGTTTGAAGTCATATCTCAAGTTTGGCACATAGAATTTCTTCCAAACTCGTACACATTATCTGTCATATAGCCATGTAACCATCTAAAAAGTTTAAAGAAAATCTATTGGTCAGATCTTGAGAAAATTGAAAATATATTCTAAGTTAATCACTAAAACACTCGATTTTCGACCAATCCATATTATGGTACAGTTTTGTCGTGTTTGAAGTCATATATCAAGTTTGGCACATAGAAATTCGCCCGAACTCGCACGGATTATCCGTCTTATAGCCATGTAACTATCTGGAAAGTTTAAAGAAAATGTATCAGTTAGATCTTGAAATATATGCCTGTGTTCCGTTAGAAACCGCCAATTTGGAGATACTTTCTTGTGTTTAAAGTCATATCTCAAGTTTGGCACATAGAAATTCTCCCAAACTCGTACACATTATCCGTCATATAGCCATGTAATTATATGGAAAGTTTTAAGAAAATGTATCAGTCAGATCTTGAAATATATTCCTGTGTTCCGCCAAAACCGCCAATTTGGAGATATTTTCTTGTGTTTGAAGTCATATCTCAAGTTTGGCACATAGAAATTCTCCCAAACTCGTACACATTATTCGTCATATAGCCATGTAACCATTTAAAAAGTTTAAAGAAAATCTATCATTCAGATCTTGAAATATATTCCTGTGTTCCGCCGAAACCGCCAATTTGGAGATATTTTCTTGTGTTTGAAGTCATATCTCAAGTTTGGCACATAGAATTTCTCCCAAACTCGTACACATTATCCGTCATATAGCCATGTAACCATCTAAAAAGTTTAAAGAAAATCTATCGGTCAGATCTTGAGAAAATTGAAAATATATTCTAAGTTAATCACTAAAACACTCGATTTTCAACCAATCCATATTATGGTACAGTTTTGTCGTGTTTGAAGTCATATATCAAGTTTGGCACATAGAAATTCGCCCAAACTCGCACGGATTATCCGTCTTATAGCCATGTAACTATCTAGAAAGTTTAAAGAAAATGTATCAGTTAGATCTTGAAATATATGCCTGTGTTCCGTTAGAAACCGCCAATTTGGAGATATTTTCTGTTGTTTAAAGTCATATCTCAAGTTTGGCACCTAGAAATTCTCCCAAACTCGTACACATTATCCGTCATATAGCCATGTAATTATCTGGAAAGTTTAAAGAAAATCTATCAGTCAGATCTTGAGAAAATCGAAAATATATTCTAAGTTATCCACTAAAAGACTCTATTTTCGACCAATCCATATTATGGTACCTACAGTTTTGACGAAAGTCCTTCTGAATTTCGGTAACAAATTAGGACTTAATTTGAGTTTACTGCACGCGCGATGAATAATTTGTGTTTATAGAGATCTGCGGCGCGTTATCAGGTTAACCAATGAAATCACGGCGTTTTTGTCACGTGACAGTCGAGTGTAGAGTGATTAATTATCATCCGGAATTTTGACCATTATATATTAACGTGCGTCATCGCCATTTTAAAGTGTTTTAAATTGTAAATTAAAGTTACCTGGTTTAAAATCTTTTTGACATTCAAATGGTTCTTGGATCTCATTTTTAAATGCTTATTATTCTTTCACATTTCAAGGTTTCAGGCAATTTCGGCAAGTAAGTATGAAGAAACGCCTCACATATAATGCATTTTAATACATTACAATATGTAGAACTTTTTATAATCAAAATCTTTTAATAATAATATCATAAGAAATCACAAACCATTTCTAAAAATTTTCTCAGTATACATTAAAAAAAATTTACAAACAATAGATTTTCGCGCGCAAACATTTAAAGGTATTTTATGGTCGCATTTGGAAATATTTTTACCCAAAAATACTGTTCGATAAAATTTATTAGCATTTTCAGTGAGAAGAAAGTTTTGAATTTAACAGGAGTAGCACATTTTAGTGGTGAAAAACGCTCTGACAATTGGCGTGTGCAGTGCGCGCGGTTAAAGTTAAAGGCATAACAGATCGAGCGCTACCATTAGCATAGCATTTCATTACACAAATGTGAGAAACCATGTTCCGATGTCCTTTCTGTTTTGTTCGTAATTTACTCTTGTTTCCCGTTACCCGTAATGTTATTTAAAGCAGCTATCTAACACGTCTCATCAATGTTTAATTTGATACAGCAGTTTTTTCATAGGATCTTGTTATCCTAACTATTTTGTTTTCCTACTCGTTTTTTACTTTCAGTATTGGCTTGCCGATTTGGAACTGCACAATTGTACAACTGACCACTTAACTGATCATCCAATGGAAGTGTGAACACATTTACCCACTACGGTTAATTAATTTATGGTTCAAACATATTTATGGTTCATGCACTATTTAACGTGTCCTAAGGGTACTCATTTTAGATAACAATCATTTCAGTACCTCTGCTAAAAAAATTTGTTTTCCTTTCTAATACAGTTTAATCTCTTGCTTGATATATTTAAAGTCACTATTGTGAAGGTACATTAGAACTACATGCCTTTTTATCGCTCTACCCTGAATTATTTTCCTGAACTATTAATTCCGAACTATATATTTCAGCTTGTAAAGAGGATGTTATTGCCCACGTTATGGGGCCTGTTAATAATTAACTAAACTATTAGCTATTTTAGATAAGATAATAATAATAATATCATAACTTGACTATCACCACAAGAAGCTGACATGTTTATAGATCCAGACTATGCTTAGAAAGAGTTGCCAAGATCACCCCAAAGATCTTCTAATCAAAGATGCTCTCACAGGATGCAGATGGTTTGTCTAGCGTGAGACTTAATTTTGGATTATAACATATACAAGCTTTTCACATGATTTTGATTGGTACAATTATAAATAAGCGTAAACACCCTACGCGCGTGGGGTGGACTCCTGGGGTGGACTTTTATTCAGCGCGTATTTTGTAGCCTGTTCAACTTGACGTTTTGATTCGTTACTATCTCAATGTCACAGATACACAGAATGTGAGGTGATCATCTTAAAGAGAAACGTCTCAGCTTTCACCTGGTGTAAAGTTTATCTTTGTACTCAAAATATAGCTCGCTCAGTGTGCAATAGAAGTTGACAATACAATAACCACGTCTGCGACCGGTCGTCAGATACCGGAGTGTTGCACAAAATTGGGTCCCTAAATTAAAATTCTATGACACAGTTACCATGCAGAAATGTCTAGGGAAACATTTGGTGAAAGTTTCAACTCTCTACTATAAAAATAGCGATAGTTATTGAAGATAAACCGTGAGAAACTCCCTCTTGTCGAGATCAACGCTCTAGGAACCTCTCTTCTGTACCACGTGACAACGATTTGAGCGTCACGTGGCCGTCACGTGACAAAAGTGCGCGCATCGGATGGAGCAGTCTCGTGGGAAATCCTGATTGCCTGATCGATCTCCTGGGAAATCCTGATTGCTACGGAAAGGGCTGACAACCACAGTTATTTCCCTTCCTCAATTTTCCAGTTCACTTGCTCAGTGCTGTCAGTTGTTTTTTGTTTGCCCTGCTATATAAACTTCACTCCGTCATAATCCCCTACTCTCCTATCCAATGAACTGTTTCTGTTACAGCTGCCATTCTGTTGACTGGACCCTAACTTAGTCTTATCATTTTCACTTGATAACTTTATCCGTGTGCACTTTCTCGAAACTCAACTTATCTTTGTCAAGACTCAGCTAATCTCAGAACTGAATGTTGCCTTAACAGACTTACTTGTCACTGCACTGGGCCCTCCTTTAAATGCAAATATCATATGAGCAGCTGATCGATTTATTGCTTGAACTGTGCATCCTTTTTAAAAATAAATAAGGTCAATTTTACTATCGTGAAACTTAGTCACTGAAGACAACGCAATCTGGCTGTGCCGGTTCCCCTCTGCCTAGATCACTTAGAATATCCATAGTTAGCAATACTTTTATCGTTTAATGCAGCGATATAGCCAGTTATCAATGCTACATAGTAGATTTTAGCCTGTTCCAATCATCCTTATATCGCGTTAATGGAATTTATGAAATTGCCTACCGTTCAAATCGCTCTCTGTTGTTAGCACCACACTGATTAACTACGATGTTCCAATTTTTTAGAATTATGTCCGACATAATTCTAATTTTTGCTGTTACAGCAGATAGTTATGGTGTAATGGCACGCAGGAATAAGTCATCCCTGTCCTCCAAAAAGCCCATGAAAAGGTATTTGGTAAGCTATGTCTTTTCCAATATCAAATCCAATGTATCACAATCTGTGGACTTTCTACTCAAAAACTAGATTGATTAATTGATAATTCATTGCTGATTGTTCACGCGCCCTGTATGGAAGTATATAAATGGTAATCCGCATACTCCAGGAAGAATTGAAGCAATCTCAAAAGAAAAGAAGGGAATCTGGATCCTTCGTCGGATCGTCAAAGAGCTTAGAGGGGAGCTCTACGCTTCACTGGCCATGCAAAGCAGGGAGAGTGACGGAGGCGGAGGCACTGCTGGCTGCTGGAACGGACATTAACAAGCTGGACAGAACGCAGTTTAACCCTTTCATGGACGCGATCAACTCAGGTAAATCATTCGACCGCCTTAACAATATGGGTTTATTGGTAATAGTAGCAAGAGGTTTTAGTCATGCGTTTGATAACAGCACAGTGTGAAACCCTGAAGCATACGTCGAGCTCTAAACTCTGTTTTGTCTAATAATCAATTATTTGAATATTGAAGGATTAAATTTGGTAACTTGATGATCACACAATTAACAGGACAGGTCGACTGTGCTAGATGGCTGCTGAGGCAAGACGGTTTAAAGCTTCAGACCGAGATATGGTCGTTTTGTAGGGAGAGGGTGCTAGAGTCATTGCTAACAGCTTAACAGAAGGTAAAATCCTGAACTTTTGTTCATTGATTAAAAATCACCATTTAGACATACAATCGTTCAGATGTAAAAATTATTTATTCACTATTTTGGATTACATTTAGTTACAGGACTAACATGCGACATCCGTCGTTGACCTTTGTCTTTAATTCAACAAGGTAGGGAGAGCGATCCATGGCTGTCCCGATAGACCCACTCAGACTCCTGCCGGAAGATACTCCTCCGGTTGATCCAGATGAGACAGTTCTAGCAGATGATCAGTTACAGACTGAAGAACATATCCCACAGATCAATGCGTCAACATCTGCAAATGAAGGTACTTCAATCTGCTCTTCTTGTATATGTCTTTGTGCCTGCGTCTGTGATTGTACTGAAGTGTACTCTGTGTGTTTGTGTCTGTGTCTGTCTTTGTATCGTGTGTGTGTCTCTGATTGTACTGCGTGTGTCTGTAATTGTAATGTAGTGCACTGAAGTGAACTATGTGTGTTTATGTGTGTGTGTCTGTGTGTGTTGCTGTGTGTGTCTGTGTGTACTGTGTCTGTCTGTGTGTCCGTCTGTGTCTGTGTGTGTCTGTGTTTATGCCTGTGTCTGTGTGTCTATGTCTGTATGTGTTTGTGGGTGTGTGTCTGTGTGTCCTTGTCTGTGTGTAACTGTGTCTGTCTGTGTGTCTGTCTGTGTGTCCGTCTGTGTCTGTGTTTATGCCTGTATGCCTGTATGTCTGTGTCTCTGTGTGTGTGTGTCTATGTCTGTATGTGTTTGTGGGTGTGTGTATCTGTCTGTGTGTGTGTGTGTGTGTGTGTGTGTGTGTGTGTGTGTGTGTGTGTGTGTGTGTGTGTGTGTGTGTGTGTGTGTGTGTGTGTGTGTGTGTGTGTGTGTGTGTGTGTGTGTGTGTGTGTGTGTGTGTGTGTGTGTGTGTGTGTGTGTGTGTGTGTGTGTGTGTGTGTGTGTGTGTGTGTGTGTGTGTGTGTGTGTGTGTGTGTGTGTGTGTGTGTGTGTGTGTGTGTGTGTGTGTGTGTGTGTGTGTGTGTGTGTGTGTGTGTGTGTTCTTTCATAGAAGTTGTTATTTCCAAGATACGAAGTTCGAAAAGCTAGCATTTAGTAATAGACGAATTTTGCAGCTGATATCAGAATCGACATGATGATGGTACTACACGAGATGCTCATGGAAAAGGTCTCCGTTTGCTTTCCTCCTCCCACGAGCAGTACAAAGTGTGGGTTCAACTTTAATCTGATAGAAGATATCGTATGCGGAACCCAAGCCCGGCCATGTCTGTACATAATAACGAAAGAAACCGGTAAGTTTCTAATCATGTAAATGTTCGGCCGAACGTTTGCATTCATTTTAGACTAGTGACGAAAATCAACAATCGTTTGCCAGTTTGGTTTGCAAAATCGACAAAAAATAGTCCATTCCCCATGGCCATGATATTAGAATTCTGCCCGTTGAAATCGGCCACTCTGATTTTTATCATTGAACTTCACATTGATGACATGTTCATTCTCTACAGGTTATGCTGCGAGGGCGTTTACCTCGATAGATGTTGAAAATGCCCACAGCATTATAAATCATTTGGACCGCCGAGGGGTCCAAAACTCCTCAATCGAAGAGCTTAGTAGACATGCCAGCAACCTACAGAGACTTCAAATTCTCAGGAAACCTCTCTAGGACGGTAATACATTAACTTGTTTAGTTAATAAATTTAATAAGTAGATTTTGAGTGATGATTACTGAATACAGATATCGAGCCTCGAGGTACCATAAAAAGGGTATATAAACTTATCACTTATGCTTATATGCTTATACTATCAATGAATATCAAATCGCCTTCTCTAGTTATCAAACCCAACATAAGTTAAATCTCTGCCTACAAGGACTATTTGATATTTACAACAGACCGAGTGAATGTCTCAATCTTTTCAGGAAGCTTTATACTCCGACATCCACAATTTACCACGCCCCTGAGATCGACAAAGGTCTTTCTGATAGATTGACTTCCAGCCAATTCGATCTATCGAAGCCGAGTGGGAAGAACAAAGAACTGAAACCCCATGGTCGCAACGATGCTCCTCGCGGACAAGGGAGAGTTAGGGCCATCGGTGGTCACAAGACTGGATAATATTTATTTTTTAAGCGTTGAGGTTGTCACGAAAGCGTACTGTAACGGGACTATCAGATTTGAGTGATTTGATTTTGTGATTTGCAGTTCACGTGATTTTATTGTGATTTTAGACTGTAAAAACTATAAAGGTTCAAGTTGAACTATCGTCGCCATGATTATGTATTTTGGAACTGTTCACGTTGAAATTGCTTCGTTAATCAGCAGTCTTCCTTGGTTACTTTCTACTGTGTAATGCAGCTACGATCAACGATACTTAGCTAGTACATTCATAGTAACACTAACTGCACTGAGAAGAGTAAAAAATTTGAGCTTTGACGGAATAACATTTCCTTGTTTTTAGATACGGTTACTACTCTAGTGAGGGGTTCATAGCTGATCATTAAGGTCTTACTCACAATAATTTGTGCTCTGATATTGGCCGTACTGACGGCTGTTGAAAAAGCCACTCCGTCAGATGCGCGCCGCAAGAGTCCACCCCTGTAGACCCCACTACGTACAAAATTTGAAATTTTCCCAAAAACTTCTGATTAAGCTAGTTTGTTTTCAATAACTTTTGCAATATTTACAGTAGACCCTTCAAATTTTCACCAAATGTTACTCCAGACATTTCTGCATGGTAACTGTGTCATAGAATTTTAATTTAGGTACCCAATTTTGTGCAACACTCCGGTATCTGACGACCGGTCGCAGACGTGGTTATTGTATTGTCAACTTCTATTGCACACTGAGCGAGCTATATTTTGAGTTCAAAGATAAACTTTACACCAGGTGAAAGCTGAGACGTTTCTCTTTAAGATGATCACCTCACATTCTGTGTATCTGTGACATTGAGATAGTAACGAATCAAAACGTCAAGTTGAACAGGCTACAAAATACGCGCTGAATAAAAGTCCACCCCAGGAGTCCACCCCACGCGCGTAGGGTGGTAAATATAATGATAATCAAATTCAGCCTGATACGAAATGAATGAGAAAGAACGCCCTGTTCACCGAAACAACATTAATGAACTTGTCAACTATGCAGGTAACTGTGCTATTTTAACTATTTATTGACAATTTCTCAATTGAACAAAAAATTCAATTTAACACTTATTTAAATGTCAATTGGGAGTCCTATGACTTAATGCACCTATTTAGAAGGTGAATAAATTATTGTTTGTGGTTTTTGATACAGCCTACTAAGGACATGTTTTTTAAATGACACTAAAATGACGTGTCCTGACACTTGACAGTGAAACTGTGAAAGTGAAATGACTAGTAAGTAGAAAGTTTTGCACAGCAATGTTAACTGCTTTTGTTAGGAAAATCCTTTTGCGCTTAGGAAAAACGCTTATCTTTGTCATCAGAACGGTCAGAATCATCACATTCGTGGAAGTCCCATTGAAGGCAGGACCTTTGCCAGATTCTCGAGTATTAACTAAGCCCACTAAGATTTATATCTGCAACAGAAACAATTCGGTGGTTAGAATCTTAGATGATTGGTAATGCTGATATTGACATAAAAAAGTTAGTAGCTCTTACGATGAGTGCGGTGTGGCAGTCACAACAGCTCCATTAGTAGCACTCCAATATTATTATTTGTTTTGACCCTTATATGTACGTAAATAAATGCTTAAACTAAGGCTAACATTCCCATGGATAAAGAAATAGACGCTTAAATTGCTCACAACCATTTAAATTGCTTAAAATTTAAATGGTTGTTAACTTGGATATTTTGTGCAGTTGAGAAGTTATCCCGAAGTTAATTTCGTAAGCTTTTAAATTCTCCAATTAACTAAACCTTTAATTTAAATTATCTTAACCGCAGGGTGTTAGAAGAAACAAGACGTAGACATCTTTAAAGCGAAGATCAACTATGCTAAAATGAAGCACAAATCCAGTGTGGTGGAATTGGATCGTTTGAAGGAAAAATATCCTCATGCCTGGTAATTATTTTAATTGATAGCCAATTAAATCGATTTTTAATTCATATATGCACCTTCTTCGCTTTATCTGAATCTAGATCACTACATCTGGTCTCAGTGGTAAATTACCCTAATGTAATGTCTCAATAACGTTTATATTTTCGAACTAGCGGACCATATTCGGAGGAGAAATTTGGGGCAGTTTTTTGCTTGTAAATACTGATTTTATCGAATTGTAACCACCAGACTTAACATCATGCCGTATGTACCTTGAAGAACTTATAGAAATCACGTATCTAAAAGAGAATGATGTAGAGGGGGATGATTAGTAGTTAGAAATCGGATCGCTGTAGCGGAAAAAAGCTAACCCTAGCAAAGAGTGATTTTATAACCAAATTCAGACAATTGTCTCGCCCATCTCCTGACATTTTAGGGTTCTTAACCCCTATCACCCATGAACCGGGTGCTTCCTGATTTATACCGAAACCCATATTGGAAGAAAACACCCGATCTACAACTGCAAAGCACATTTTAATAACTTGAGCACAAAACTTGTTAAAAAAAGACCAACAATTGTTCCCCAATTTGGTATTTTTCCTCACGCGTGCAACCAAAATAACCGATTTTTGTCAATATCTTAACAAATAGGTAAGCATTAAAAGGCTTATATTGCTTTATAAGTTGTGTATAAATATGATATTTGCGGTCATTTTAAGCTAAAATTCAAGTCTCTACGACCTTCCTAGTTCAAGTTACCAAAATTCAGTGCCATTTTTGGTTCGCTGAGCCAAAAAATAGTTTTTTGCCAATGTCTATAAAATGAAGCACTGGAGACCTTATGTTGCTTTATAAATTGCATATAAATGTTGTCATTAGTACAAATGACCCTCTACCATACCAGATCGATTTCAAGTCAGTCAAGGCAATAGGCATAAATGCGGCTACAAGGGCATGTTTCCAAATCGGACACAAATGTTTCCAATTTTGCTAAAAGCAGTCAAATCTAGTCTATAGAGAAGGTCAGATCGATTACTGGGTTGGCTTAGTTAACTACAGGTCACTAAAATTGCTAAAATGCAGGATGATGTTAAAAATCCCAAAAAATGCAATTAAAACATGCAATTTGCACAAGGTTAAAATCACATTGAATCCATTTATTTTGTGCCAATTGTTAGTTTATAACTAGATAATCTAACTCTAGATATCTACAGGTGCTAATTTTGTTGACTGAGTTACTGTTTTGCCGTAAGTTCTGGGTATTCAAAAAAAAGTCCCCAAAATGTCACAAAAAGTAAATTGACTAAATTCCACCATTTCTTTTCAACAGAGAGAGAAATTCTAGTTTACACCTCTCAGAAATAGGTATATTAGTCCCAGAAGTAGTTAAAAATTAATAATTGAGCAATATTCTGAGTACTACACAACCTGTATATTACCTGAAGTTTTAGGGGTGGTGCACGTGACATTTTAGGGGGTGATTATGGTTTTGAGGTACTTCCTTTAGTGAGTGAATGTTTTCAAGTAGCTTAATGTTTTAATAAGACAAAACAAATAGTTCTAGTGACAAAAGATAAATCAGGCCTCCTGTACATTTTGTAATTATCGCACATATAGAAATGACATTTTAGGGGTAATGTTTTAAAACGAACTCCATTTCAACGTCAAAAAAATTGTACCTGATTCTATTTTCAAATTTCCAAATCTTCCTGGCAGGCTAGAAAAAGGTTTAAATATTATTCCTAGACACTTCAGAACCCTGTAAATTTAGCCCTAACTCGGCAATCTGGGCCCCAAAAACATGTTTCCAAATCGGACACAAATGTTTCCACGAACTCGGTTTAATCTTCTGCCCCGAGTTCATGAATCCGAGATTTTGGAACCAATTTGGAACCAATGATACGGTTTTGATACGGTTTGGAACCAACGTTATTTTGACTATATTTTGGATAAAAAATAGATAATTATGGTTGTACGGTTTAGGGCGATGTGTTTACTAACTATTTTGACGTCAAAATTGTCGCCAGAGGCTCCCTGAGTCATGGAATGAACGGAATGAACAAAAATGAAATTTTTTCTAAAACTCGTCGGATTGCCCCCAAAACAGGTCGAAATCGTTTGGTATTGACCCTAATAGTGTTCCTGCAAAGTTTGGTGGCCCTAGCACTCCCAGAACGCCCACTAGAGACTTGGTTCCATTTCCGTATCAAAAAGCTGGTTCATGAGTATCCGAGATTGTGGAACCAGATGATACGGTTTTTGAGGCATTTTGATACGGTCATTTCAGTCTGTTAAAGTAGTTTCAGAGTGCTGGAAATGGTTGTACGGTGTAGGGGGATGTGTTTACCAACTATTTTGACGTCAAAATTGTCGCCAGAGGCTCCCTGAGTCATGGAATGAACGGAATGAACAAAAATGAAATGGAACCGGATTCTAGTGGACGTTCTGAAACTGGTAGGGCTACAAAACTAAGTTGGAACACATCTTGTTTGAATACTGTTGAACCAAATTCAACTCTCTGCAACAACACAAGCAGACAAAATTTCTCAAAATCTGTTTTATCTGCTCAACTGGTTCTAAATTCTTGAATCCAGCCAAGGGTATAATGGGTGTTCTGGGAGTGCTAGGGCCACCAAACTTTGTAGGAACACTATTAGGGTCAATACCAAACGATTCCTACCTGTTTTGGGGCCATCCGACGAGTTTTAGAAAAATGTTCATTTTTGTTCATTTCGTTCATTCCATGACTCAGGGAGTCTTGGGCGACTATTTTGACGTCAAAATAGTTAGTAAACACATCCCCCTACACCGTACAATCATCTCCAGCACTCTGCAGCCCCTTTAACAGACTGAAATGACCGTATCAATATCGGATACTTAGGAACCAGCTTTTTGATACGGAAATGGAATCAAGTCTCTAGTGGGCGTTCTGGGAGTGCTAGGGCCACCAAACTTTGTAGGAACACTATAAGGGTCAATACCAAACGATTCCGACCTGTTTTGGGGCAATCCGACGAGTTTTAGAAAAAAAATTCATTTTTGTTCATTCTGTTCATTCCATGACTCAGGGAGCCTCTGGCGACAATTTTGATTGACGTCAAAATAGTTAGTAAACACATCCCCCTACACCGTGAAACCATTTCCAGCACTCTGAAACTACTCTAACAGACTGAAATGACCGTATAAAAATGCCTCGAAAACCGTATCATCTGGTTCCACAATCTCGGATTCATCTTCTGTCTGCCCCTGGCGCGATCTGTTTATACTGATAAAACCCCCAAAGTGTCAACATTTTTGAATAATTTTTAGCGCCGCGCAGTAATACGCGCATTTACAAATTTTTACCCCCCTGGCCTCCCCCCTTCCGTAATCAACCGTTATCAAGACCCAACCCCCCCGGCCCTCCTGACAGCAAAAGTACGTAATCATGGCCTGATTCCCCCCCCCCCCCCCTTGACTATTTTCCTAGAAAACACTTTTTCTACGTTTCATGTTACCCTGATCATGCTATGATGATGAGCCGAAATCATTGTTATGATATCCGGCCAAGCAACTTCTAAACTACTTACTACTGCAGGGTGTCAGAATTATTGGCGTGTTTGAAATTTTATGTGTATTTTATGATGAAATCAATATTTTTCGCCGGGTCATAACTTTACTTCTGAATATCTAAATTTCAAAATTCAAAAACTGGTTTGTAGATAATCGTCTGAACTTTTTCTTGATTTCAGAATTTTGTGTTGATGTACCTCAAAACCCATAATTTAGGCCGTTATTTAAAGGGTCGATTCCATACTTGGTTAGATTTACGAAGAAGTAAGAGATTTTATGTGCAATTTTTTTTCGGTGAATTTTTTCTGAAATTATTCTTTAGACTAAAGTGCACAGCTCTTCAGGCGATAGCGAAACATATAGAAAACTATAGATTTTATAAAAGCTCTCTTTCTCCTCTAACTGACGCAATAAAATATAGTCAGGCGGACTCATCCCGGAATTTAGGGTAAGCAGCCGAAGGCTTTAAGTCCAGTAATCCAAATTTTTCTCTTTCGTCGTGATTATCGACAAAATTTAACTTCTTTCGGACTTCATTTTTAGACTAAACTGTAGTATGAAGGATTATTTCTTAAATGATCAAGACTCCATAGGAAACTGACACTCAGAAGTCAAGTAATGATCGTTTCTAAAAGCTTGGGTGGGCTAAAATTTTACGCCAATAATTATGACACCCTGCTGTATTATAGCCGGATATTCGATCAATTTCTAAATTTTATCACTATCAGAGTGAAATTGAGTGGAATTTGAATTAAAATATTGTCAAATTGTTATTATTCTAGGGGGTAAAAAAGAAAATGTTGATAACGTAATCAACGACCAAACCCCCCTCTATGTGTTATGATTCATGTTTGACTATTAATAATAATTATTTTCCTCAGGAGACGTACGTGCGAAAGACAAAATTTGCCTAGCTAAAGAAATTCTAGCTAAGAAAGCAGAGTTCAGAGCAGAATTGAAGCAGAAAGCTGCCGACCAACATAAACACCTCTCAGCGCAGCAACACAAAACAAAAAAAGGTGGCACCCAATCTATTCACCCAACTCCTGACAGTACATGGAATCACCCCAGACAATTACAGACATCCTCTGGCGTTTGGTCTTCTCCCTGGAAAGCGGCAAGAACACTACACAAACCTACTAGAAGAACTGGATCGCTTTGGACCTTTCCATCCAGACACCGCCCTTTGCGATTATGAAGCTGGGCTACGGAACAGTGTCACTGCTGTCTGGCCCGGGACTACTCTACATGGCTGCTACTTCCACTTCAAACAGGCTCTATGGAGGAACTTCGCTCGCTCCGACCTTGTTCCGGAGTATCAGGTGGTTGGATCCGACATCCGGAAAGCCTTCCAACGGATCGGAGCTCTACCTTTCATCCCTCCTGGTGACGTCCACTACGCATGGCAGACCCTTAGAGTTAGACCTATCCTCTCCGCAGATATGGATGTCTTTACATTATACTTTGAGTCCACGTGGATGGGAACACCAAACAGACCTGCTCGCTTCGATCACCTGTCCTGGAACCAGTACGATTGCTGTCTAACTGGTCTCCCACGCTCTTTGAACCTTGCAGAAGGATGACATAATGGTTTCCGCAGCCTCGTCCAGTGTTCAAATCCTACCATCTGGAAATTCCTTGAAGCCCTCAAACTAGAGCAAGGACTAACAGACCAGAAGATCACGGATAGGCTGATGAGAAGACCTCCACCCCAGAGAGCTGCCAAGTGGATAAGGTACGACTCCCTTCTGGAATCCTTCATGCAAGCCTACAATAACCAGGAGTACGAAGTCATTGATTATCTCTCTGCTGTTTTTGCTGCACTATGAATTCGACATTTGATTATTGATATTAACGGTTTTATGATATTGGTATTTAGTTATACTTTCGATTGTACTATATTTCAACCTTACTGCTAGGTTATTTGATCATTGTTGAACTGTGTTTCAACGATCAATGCTTAAATTATTAGAATCTTCAATTATGTTAGGCTTGAACTACTGTGAACACAATAGAGAATTAGATAGTCAGCCAGGTCTGTAATGATTCCATTTTATCTGCATCATCCGAAAGTATTTTGTACCTTTTATTTGTGATCTTCATTGACACAATATTTGTATATCCATAACCCTGTAACACGAACAGTTTTAATATCAAAACCGAGTCTTAACTGTTAGGTTATTTAAAATAGCTGACATCGCTTTCGTAATTGGTGCATCGTGTGACCACCCAGACCACGGAGAGGAGATCTCTGTCATTCCTCTAGCAAAGCAGCCAGTTTAAATTGAGAAGAGTAGCCCCTGATGGGTGGTTACAGGTTATCAGGAAGAGAGAGAGCATGAACTGGACGAGTTTTGATTTAAGATGGTGTAATTCAGATATTATAGGATAGGGCATTGCATTCAACAATTTTGGGCCTGCACTTGCAGATGAATCTTCGTACAGCGACGGATTCGCTGCCAAGCTGTGTCTGCAGATCGAATGACTGCAAGGTTTCTAAAACATGGCCAGGAGACGAACTGCAATGTTGACAACCGTTTACTTAAAGATTTTAGAGTAAGCATTTCATGGGATGTTTCGACTGTAATCTTGAATATGACTGAAATGAATTATTGATAGAATAAAATGTGTTTGAATTCTTGTCTTGCTGTAACAAGGAACCCACTCTATTTGACCGAGATTATTCAATAAATCTAAAGAACTTTATCAATCTAACTATTAATTAATAGACATTTTGTAGAACTGATAATCGCATGTCATACTCACAGTAACCTTTGAGCAGTACTCTAATTATAGTCTAAAACAATTTATTGCGCTGGTCTGTGAATTGTACTGGTTGGTAAAATAGCCAAGAGCTTGCTGAAACCATGCAAACGCCCCCGTAGGTATAGTGGTTGTATGTGAAGACATGTACCACGAGATCAAGTTCAACAATAATCTCACGAAAAGAGAGATAAAACATACCAATACCATTATCAATGACACTGGCTGAATCAAATGATTCTTATTATATGGCCATTTGTATGTCAAACAATACGAAAAAATAAAAGTTTGGCAAGGAATAAGTTTTGGGCCAGCAAGTTGCAAGTGCGAATTGGTAATCAGAACTAATGGTACAAATAATCATACGATAATTGATATGGTATAGTCGGTTAAGTTGATCGACTACAGTATATATGATATAGTACATGACAGTAATTTTGTATCAAGACACTTATACATATTACTTCGAAGTATTCCAACAGCTACATTGTTACACACGTGCAACCAGCCAATTGCAGCTCAGGAAGCCGAAGGATTTATTTTGGCCAGTGACTGTTAAACTTAAAGTAGTGTGTACCATACTTACTTCGCCCGAGACTGCTGCAATGTGCAGCTCCTCATTTAACCCTCACACCCGATTTCCCGAGTATTCGGCTGAGTATACCGGGGGGCTGCATAGACCACTCAGGATCCTTAGCTGAACGTCAACGACGCTCACCCCACAACCAGGCAGACATTGGGATTCGAACTCGCAACCTCGCGGTTGCAAAGCTGGTGTTCTAACCAACTGCGCTACCTCGCCGTTGCGAGAAAGGAGCCTTCCCCTCATTTCCAAATATAGTCATTTGTGACGTCATAACCATAGTAACGCCATAACCATAGTAACGCCTAGCGATACATAATAGCGACGCGCATGTTATTTTGATATTCGTTTGTTTTATTTGCTGCGCGGTGTAAATATTTATTTTGACCAGTTATTTAGTCATAACTTTTTATAGGAACCTGCGCTAGGTTTCGCTTTTCTTGCGACATCCGATTTGGCGTTTTTCCTATCGGATGGTATATACTTATATAATTTGGCCACAGCGCAAATATCGCACGATAATCTTATTCCTATGAACAGCTTGAGCCGGGGTATAAAGGCCAAACCTAATCGCCCAATTTCCCGACTTATATAAGTAGGGAGCGAAACTGGAATTATGCTATTCACTATTTTATAGAAGGTCATAAGATCGTTATGAATAGACTTCTGTTTAACAGGGAGAATATTTAATTTCTTTTGCTCTGTTGCAAGTTTATCGTCATTATAACTGGAGTAGGGTTCACCATTGATCCATTTAATGACCCTCTTTTGGATAGCAACAAACTGTTGAAGATGAGTTGCAGTTTGAGGGAAACATTGTTCAAATATAAACCCAACTAGAGGTAAATAGAACGTTCTTTTCTGCCTTTTATCAGTAGTGAAATGACATGTTCTTTTAAGTAGTCCAAGTCTAGAGTTAGCTTTGGAACCAAGCCCTTTTCATTGTGCTCCCTTATTAAACCTGTTTTATTTATTTTTTTAAAGAGAGGCTGGGCCTGGTTGGCCCACGCGAAAGGGTAGCATATGGATGCTTTGCCTACCTCTGGGGTATGGCAGTCCTGTGGGATGATGCCGGTGGAATCAAGATGTGTAATCAAGGATGATGGTAAGTGTTGTGGGGTCTGTCATAGATGAACGCTTAAGTAGTGGTTGAGTGTGTAAGAGAAGGGTGAACTAAGACGACCTGGTGTTTATTGCGACTCGATCCTGAATCTGACTGAGAGGGCACAGTGACAAAGTCAATATCAATTCCAGAAAGTTAATAGAAGCAGGTATTGAATGGCAAGTTATCCAGCACGTTTCTTTGTCAGGACACAGAGAGGGCTTTTCACTTTTGCGAGTGATTCCAGTTTCACATCTATAGTAGAACAGTGTTTGCATGCCCTATTGGAAAGTTTATGGCGATGCATGCCGTGTCTCCCTGTTTCGATGTTGTATTTATGCGAGCTTGTTTTGAGCTAGTTGCGCAAGTCTCTCAGTCTGCTGCAGTGGCTGTAGGTTGATCGACAGGTATGTTTCGCAACCGAAGCTTGCCTTGATGAGGTTGTAGAACCCCAATTTTCGGTTAAGTTTTTTCTCTTTGTTCCAGTAATGAACAAAAGGGGTTTTCATAGCCTCGCTGATTTTGAGAGGGTTTGAAAGATCGCTTCCTCCTGATAATTGTTTCACTGTGTTCCTGGTTAATTTCAGCCGGGAGAACCATATCAATTTCTTTCATATGATTAACCAACAACACAAAGAAGACTAGGTGGTTAACCATGTCAGAACAGAGCTTACTGCCGCGAGTGATGGCGATGCGTGTTGTGAGCAAATTTGTAAATGCGAACAAAAGTATAACTTATTTCACATATAAGGCATACTCAATACTCATAGCACCCTGGTCATTAAGTCTAAGAAAGTTCGCACGAGATGGACCACGTTTTTCCCAATTTAACTTTAGAAGATTGTAATAATAGTACATACATACATACTATGTATTAGTATTACATAGTAGTAGTAGAGCAACTGCTGCAGATAACATATATATATATATATAGTGTATGAACATCATATGATTATAGTTTTGCAAAATCACGCTCTAAAATCTACATGCTGAACTTTTTTTAACCCCGGTGCACTGTCTTATCGAAAGTCAAGATTCCATATTTTTTGTTTCCTTCTGTTTACCTTACAAGACATATTTATAACGTACGAAATGTGGCGGTTTTCCGAAAATTTCGCCATATTTTCGGACCGCCAAAATTTCGGTCGTCGTAATAGAATCCGTCGCATTATTTTTAGCTTATTCCAATAATTGTGGCTTCATCGATTCATTTTGTTCTTGAAAAGTTAGTGATATGATGGTGGGACAAATAAACACAATATTCCATGATGAATTTAATGTCAAGTAATACGTTTTAAATTTACAATAAATTACATTTATGTGCTAATGTTAGGACATATCTTAAGAGGACAGGAAGACTCACCAGCATACACCTCTATGTTATTTGCTATAAATTCTGATATTTTTATGGAAGGGAGACGGGGTAGACCATGTTTAAACTTATTAGATGTTATTAGAAAAGACTTGACTAGTAGAAATCTTGATATTAGACTTAAGAATTTGACTGATTTCGAAGACCTTAGATTTTTAGCTTTAGATAGGGAGGAGTGGAAGAAGTTAGAAGATGGTTGATGTTTTTGTTTTCTTTTTTATGCGTTTTGATATCTATAAGGTGCCTAGGATGCTCTTTTAAAGAGATATTTCGTACTTTGAAAGATTTACTACTACTATGTGCTAACATAAACGTCTTATAAGAGACTAAGTCAAGATAAACAATTTAATACCAAACTCAATAAGTCATGTGATGCAGATATACTGTCATTGATCAGTAGAGTAAAATTTAGATTTTAGATTGAAATACTAAAATCAGCACTAATCAGTAATCATCTTATTACTCAAGTCAATTTAAAAAGGATCTTGTTCCGGAAAAGTAACCACATGGACTGATATCTACGATGGTGATAAGGTTACTATCCATCGGGAAACTAACGATGTGTCTCTTCAACATGATCGGTATGCGTGTGCCGTGAAGCGGATAAAGGACGGAAGAGGTTTGCTTGTTCCACAGTTGGTAACCGTCGGACATATTCCGTTAGAAGTTAGTAAACATTGTCACTATTTCATGTGCCACGGTGGGGAAATTAATGGAGTTGTTGAGGATAGCAGACACCGTCGTTCCCCTATGGCCTATACCCTCCGGTGGATTGGAAGTCAAGTTGAAACTTACTTTCAAAGGCCTCGGAGACATCGTGTACAAGATGAAGCAGCTTATCCGAGAATCTTACTCCTGGGAGTACACTGGAGAACAGCGTGAAACTGAAAGGGTCGAGCCGGACCCCTTAGATGAAGATGAAGAAATCGATTCATAAGTTTCATTTTGTTTCAACATGATTTTACCGATTTTTAGAAAATTTTGAATTTCCTTTGTGTCAGAAAACAAAATGATGAAAAATACCCTTATTTTCTGTGACGTCCGAAATGTGACGGTTTTTGTTCAATTTCGCCATATTTTCGGACCGCCAAAATTTCGGTCGTCGCAAATTGGTCCGCCACAAAAAAGTCTTGTAAGGTAATAAGTTTCGAATAAGAAAATCGGTGTAGTAGTTTCCTTGTCACCAGCTGTATCTATTATACATTTTGTTAATGAGAAGTCAACTATACAGCATAAATATACTCAATATATTCTGTAGATAATTGCAAGGCTTGTTTTTCATTCGTTTTTAAGGTCTCATAGTTTGTCCTTGTACTTAGCATATACTCTTGTAAATTTGCTGACAATCACTGTTACTGGGAGCGCGATCACTATCATGCTGAACATCATACAGATTGAGGCTATCAATTTTCCTGGAAGAGTAAAAGTTGTTAACCCAATTAATGCATGGAAATTTACAGTGCAATTTGAATCAATAACTAACATCAAATCACCATTACACACAACGCATATTATTATCAAGGAACAAAAGGATCGCTTTATTAGTTTATTGAAACATGCACTTACCGAATGGGGTTAGAGGAACCATGTCTCCATACCCAACAGTACTCATTGTTACTACTGCCCACCACGAGCTCTGAGAAAGTAACTGTGATTGCTTTTATAGTACTATACTAGCACAATAATAGCTTATTAGCTTAACTTTCAGTAAATGGTGATAGAAATATACTGTTATTATACCTCTAGTATAGATCTAAACTTGCTCTCGTCTGCGGAACCAACCAAGTCTTCTTTGAATTCCAAGTAGTACATTATAGAACCGAATATGATAACTCCTATGAACCAGAAGAAAAGTAAGAGTGCTAACTCGTTTACACTGGCTGCTAGAGTCTTTGTTACTATCACAATACCTATGGAAGTGTAATCTGTTGTAGTTCACAAGAGCGTTCAATCAATTTAAAGTAACTAACAGGAACCCGTCTAATCTAACCCTAAAATGGTGTCAAGATTCAAGAGACTAAAATGATTATTACCTATTTAAATCGCGTTTTTGACACCACCAAATTGTGGGCACTAAAATTCTTATTCCTTGGCCAATTTTTTATTGTTTCATGCTGATTTGAAGACCATTAAAGAACTATTATATGAACCACTCAAAAACGTTTAATTCGTATATCTTTTACGATTTTTGCGGAAAGTCGTGTTAAAGTTGATGCCGTGGTGTCAATAAAATGGTACGGATATATAAATAAACAATACATATATATATATATCGTCTCGATTTATATATAATATGATGGGGTTAGAGAGGGGAAGGCCCAAAGGTTTTGGTTTTATTTCCGAGCAATCTACAGAACGGATTAAAATTATATTCGCCTGGAAGTGACCGTATAATACTGACTGATATGTAATCACTATTCTATCTTTTAATTAATGCTGGCAATAAAATATGTAACCTATTATTTTGTATCTCAAATTCTCCATAGGTAAGCTGCACTTATTCAGTTATTGGAGTTTAATACTTCGGTGACCGAAGTATGAGACCGAAGTTCGGTCTCACGTCGTTAACGAGTCTATATACAAGAACCCGCAATTAATGATTCTGCAACATTATTTATAAGTTTTTACTTTAACCAATGACATATCAAGAAAGTATTCCTACCTTTGGAATGCCTTGCAAGCTTTAGGACTCTGATCACTCTTAGAACCCTCAAAATGACAAGAGCTTCTCCCCCTTTATTCTCTGCTGTCATAAACTGTATGAAGAACGGCAGGACAGTGACTAAGTCTATCCAGTTCATGGCAGTCTTTATGAATAGAAACTTGTCAGGACAGCAGATGAATCTAGCGATGAGCTCAATGGTGAAGAACATGATACAAACTGTTTCTATTATTAAGAAGGTCGTTTTCTGGCTGTTTGGCTCCTTTGAATCAATGGCTTTTTTGATTTCTGGCATTGTCTCCACGATAAAGAGGGCAACTGCTAGAGTGATGGCCAAAACATCAAGAATAGCCCAAACACGTGCAGCCCTAGAGGAGTCAGGTTCTTCGAAGAAATCCCAACATTTCCGTAAAAAGGTTTTATCTTCGTCTGAGATCGAATCTTTATCTTCATCATCCATGTTCTCTACATATCTGAAAAATGAATCCTATGCACTGTTATGAAACAGAAGTTTGACTTAAGTTGAGCTGTTGTCTTGGCATTCGAATAATTCGATAAGTTTAACTGATTTTTCTTGGTTGCAGAAAGAAAAAAAACATTAAATACCTGCAGCTACTCAAAATCCATGCATGACGCAGGCTCTATTCAGTGGTGTAAAATTTGCAAAATTATTATTGAAACATGTCAGGATGGCCGAGTGGTTAAGGCGCCAGATTCAAACTCTGGTCCACGAATGTGGGCGTGGGTTCAAATCCCACTTCTGACAAATTCCTTTTTTTTACTGCATTTTAAATCAATCTACTATTATATGTTAAAAAATTGAGAACACCCTTCAAACTTTTATCAAAATTGTATCCTTGACCTTAATTAGCACATTTCCAACAGGCGATCTATACTATATTATCCATGAAGGGATGACATTAGATACACGTACCTGCAGCTACTCACAATCCATGAATGGAAATGATGACGCAAGCTCTATAAGTGGTATAAAGATAGTAAATTCTTATCAAAACATGTCAGGATGGCCGAGTGGTCTAAGGCTCAAAAAGTTCACTTGTACGAGTGAACGTTCTGGTCCACAAATGTGGGGCGTGAGTTCAAATCCCATTTCTGGCAACTTTTATATTATTTAAAACTGATTTAAATCAATCTACTATTATAATTATATGTATATATTTGGGTTACATTTTTGAGCTGTCACTATACCACTGCACCAATTTTTAAAGTAATAAGTTTTTTTCCTTACTTTTCGTAATGGTCCTCAAGTTTGAAAAAGCGAATTTCCTCCGAAAATTGTTCTTCTGTCACACAGGTAGGTCGGTAGAACTTTCCTCGGCTTTGGTAGAAGTATAGTATTGCGCTGAAATGATTTAAAAACTATTACTTTCACCTCCTTAAACAATTATCAAAAATAAATAGTATCAATGTAACCAGTAACGATATTATCTTAAAATAAGTATTTTGTATTTGATTTCAGAAATCGAAAACCTGAATATGGACGGTTCCTGATTCCTAACGATTAATTATCTTTGGACCAAAATAAAAAATAGTCAATTTAAAATTCTCCTCAAAAGATTTCAGATTTTTAAGACGAATTGAAAAACCTAAAAATAAGTCGATTCCTCTCGAAGAAGTACTCATTCCTATCTTCCAAGTAATACTTCCTCAGGTCATTTTCCGAACCCAACAATGTATCGCTGTATCTGCTTAATGTCGTCAAGGTTACCTTGTAAAGTTATCGTTTTCTGTTTACAAGGTAACAAGGTTACCTTAAAACTTTAAAACGTTGTTGTTGTTTTTTCATTATACGAGGAGTGCCGTCTACTTTTAATGCGGAAAGAGAATTAACAAAAACAAAAACAAACAAAAACCAAATATTATATGGTACAAGTTCAATAGAAAAATATCATTGAACGAAAATTTGAAATAGATCTGTTCTGTACTGTACAAATCAAGGTGTAACAATTAACCACCTTAAGAAGCTGCAGAAGTAATTATACTAATTACACTAATTATACTAATTACACTAATTATACTAATTATACTAATCATACTAATTATACTAATGCATATAACAGCTGTTGATTAATACATTTTGAAAAGATACCTCAAAGTAACCTCCACTTATGTTTAGGCGGATAATGTCGTCTGTGTCACAGCCAGTGCTAGTTGAAGATGAATTATCTGACGAGAGATCATGTTTCGAGGGGCCATTCTGAGGAACGTGGTTGTATTTTTGTCTGTTCGTTGTTATCAAGATTTTAAAGGTATTTGAGTGTTAAGAGCATCATGTATTATAAATACTATTCATGCGCACTCCTTAAAATTCAAATGATATTTATCTTAATTCTATTAATTTGTATCCGCATCAATAAGTGTTGCAAAATCTAGCCCACTTCTTATTTGTAAATATTTTTTAACGCTACACGTCAAACCTCGGGTGTAATAGAAGAATTCTGTAGGTCATTTTTGTGATTTCCTTCGTTGGGGACAGACAACTGAAATTAAAAACATGTACTGATATATTCTGTGGAGTGTAGGTAAATTTTAATATTATATTAATCTTGATGGTGTGACACAGTGAGCTCAAAAGCTATATAACTACATTTGTGACCAGTTTGATGTTTAAAATTTCATTAAACATGAAGAATGGATGAAAAATAAATGTATCTTGTCAAACAATTGAATAAGTCTTCACTGATAAATTGAAATGAACTAATCGTCATGATGAAGGGACTAGTGGCCTTTCATCTGAAATTTATGAAAGTTCGAAAAAATGACAAGAATCATATAATCTCACATAATGAGCATAATATCTAATAATAAAATTGGATATAGAATTAAAAAATAAAGCAAGATAAGTTTGACATTTTACATTGACAGCAGAAACTCGTTAAATATGTTCTGTCACGATGATGTTTTTCCTCCATCTTCCATATAGAGGCCATATTGCACAGTACGTGATCGTATCGCGGTTATTGTTCGCGATTGGCTAACCAGCTGCAGTTTATAACTGCCAGATTCATTTTGTAGATTATTTTATTATTTTACGTGTTTCTGTGGCAAAATTTGCAGTGTTTTTACAATAATGGATGATAACATAACGTTATATTATCCATGAGAGGATGACATTAGATACCCGCAGCTACTCAAAATCCATGTATGGAAATAATAATAAAATGATGCAGGCTCTATTCAGTATTCAGCGGTATACAATTTGCAAAATTATTATGGAAACATGTCAGGATGGCCGAGTGGTTAAGGCGCCAGACTTAAATTCTGGTCCACGAATGTGGGCGTGGGTTCAAATCCCACTTCTGACAAATTCCTTTTTTTAAACCGCATTTTAAATCAATCTACTATTATATGTATTCGAGTTGCATTTTTGAACTGTCACTTATTCTTAAAATAATAGTGTTTTTAAAACTTTTCGTAATTGTCCTCAAGTTTAAAAAGCGAATTACTTTTGAAATTGTTCCACTGTCAGTGTCACACAGCTACACTACAAATTTCTGTGGCAAAATTTTTCCGTTCACCCTTTTGTAAAAAGGCAATTATAGTGAAAGGTTACGAATGGACGTTTTTGCAGAAAAACGTGGATTTTGGAGATAGCAGTAGGTGGGTCAGTGCAGCGCGCGAGTATTGCTTGCGGAGATTTGATGTATATAGCTAGCCTGTCAATGAATGCGCGGCGCGAGTGTATTTTAATGTATACTATGCAATGTATAGTATAAGGTTATAAGCCCAATTTGTACGTGGCATGCGTAGTATAGTGTACTGATGTGTATCAATATTATTATTATGAAGTGAGCTGATTGGAGCTTATATTTATAGTTATACTTATAGTGAACGGAAATCTAGCGTCCGCCAAAACGAAACAACGGGCGCAATTCTTGTTAGTGTTCCGTTTTATTGCGACTATTAAAGGCTCTTATCAGGATAATGAATTGTTCTACGTTCCAATGTAAAGATGTAACAACATCGCATTCATTATTATTTTACATTAAACTTTAATTAAGGTGCAAACTAACATGTTGACTGCGTAAAGGATTAATTATCGAAAAGTTCAGCCATACTTTTAATTGATTATTTTGAAAACTAAGTTAAGCAGTTAAATGCAATGGCAAATATCATGGCTGCATTGATAAGTTTTGGTTGGAGAGGCGCGGATCAATACACGAAAATAAAAGAATAGGCTCTAGAAATCTTTAAATTATTTATCTTAAGAGAACCTCTCAAATCATTTGTGTTACATAAGTGTTTGAAGAATTCAAAAAATTAATATTGAACAGTTCCTGTCATAAACTCACAAAACTAGTTCGTAAAAGTTTTGCCACATCAGCAGAGTTTGAGGGTAAGCCTTTGTTCCTCGTTTTCCTCGTAGGAATTGGAGTCATTGTTGGGCTCACAGTAACATAGCTCGGCTTAAACATCACTACCACACATTGGTCATGCACACAGCAGCTGGAACATTATAAAAATAAATTGCAAACATCAAGGTCGTCATAAACACTCACATATCTGGTTGGTCGGAATTTAGAAAATTCGGCAGAGTTAGCTGGCAAACTTTTTCTCTTTTGTCTTACAGATATCGGAGACCTTATATCCGGAATCACGGCTACATAGCTTGTTTTGAACATCACGGCAAGCTGATTACAGGAAAACAGAATACTGGAACGTTGAAAGCGTCAAATTTAATTGCTTAACCGTCCGTTCCCAAACTACAGTCAACATTGTATAACTGATTTTGTTGGTCAGCATCAATGAAAATTGAAAAGACAGTAGTAAAAAGACCTATTATTAAACTATGGATTGACAAATTTATGACTATGACTAATAGTAATTTAACCGTTTAAGTTAGTGTATGTCACCGATTGATGACTAATACTAATTGCCAAAAATCTAAAACAGAAACAATGATGTAAATCAGGCATAAAATGAATTCAAAGAAATCTTGGAATTGTGTCGATGGAAATTTGCAATAGTATCAAACTAACCATTCTAAATTTTTTTTGTAACTAGCCATGATCTAAATTTTAATCAAGAAAATTTCATGTGTGTAAGATAGGATATTTAATTATCTTCTGTGGCATGATCATAAACATGGAATAATTGGTCGTTAGTTAAGAAAATTGTCCAACTAATTTTCTGAGTCAGTTATAAAAACAATCTGCTTTGCCATAACACATCGTGCACCCTACGTAGTTCAAAGTTCAACAACAACTATTATATACTACAATTCGTGATATCTTTATACAATATGTGCTCTTATATAATATTAATAAAGACTACACAAATATGAAGAGGAGGCAATGTGACGATCCACGGATTATCAGCTCATCATTATATCGTATAGTTGATGACACTAATAGCAATGGTAATTATAGTGGAACCTTTTGTGTAGATATCACAAGCCTTATAAAGTTATAACACTAACTATGGGATACTAATTATAATATATGCTTATATGTAAGGGTTGGGATCCTACCATTATACCACTGTGTACCACAGGGATCTCCAAGCGTCAACTGTCAAATTTGTTTTATTACTTATATAGTTATATATAAGTAATAAGGTACTCCTTTATAATATCATATAGTTATATCGAGCCTGACCGAGTCTCATCGGACCAAAATGACCAGATCAAGGTTGTGATAAACAACACGAAATAAAGGGAAATGATGAAACAATTGCAGTCAAACGTCTTTATACCGGGGAAACAAAAAGTGGTATAGAAAAAACTCGGAATACTGGTATAGTCCTAATCCTATAGATTGGTTTACATGATCAATCCCCAGCAGTGTCTATACATACCCTGTCACATAGCCTGCCGTTAAGGGTCTCATATACCCCAATATTGTACACATATACCCTGTCACATAGCCTGCCGTTAAGGGTCTCATATACTCCAATATTGTACACGTATACCCTGTCACATAGCCTGCAGTTAAGGGTCTCATATATACCCCAATATTGTACACGTAGGTATTATAATTGTCGTATTGTGATGGAATATGTACTCAAATCGCCACAAAATGCGACATGAACAGTGAGCTATGATAAATCACTTTTATCGCACGAAACGAGCAAAGTAACGAAACATACATACACATGTTACATGGTAAGGTCTCCTCCTAGTCGTTGGAGTGGCCTGCATCACACACATCGCGTTTGCGGCGTAACATATGTCTCCACTGTACTCGGTTGGTAGCCAAAGCTTCTGTCGTTGTCGATGTTTTCAACACCTGTAAACTTAGCAGCATCTTCGAGTACGCAGGACTTCCAGTTCTTACGGGGTCTGCCCCTTGACCTCTTTCCATAGTTTGGCTTCCAGTTCAACAGAAACCTCGGTAGTCTAGAGTCTGGCATTCTAACTACATGTCCATACCAACGTAGCCTGGCAGCACTGATGAAAGTCTCAACTGACTTGATGCCAGCCCTCCTAAGAACTTCGTCGTTGGTTACATGAAAGAACCATTTAATCCTAAGGATCCTTCTCAAGGAGGTTTGATGGAAAACCTCGAAACGTTTCATCTGCTTTTTGGTGGTGTTCCAGACTTCAGCTCCATACAACAAGATGGTGAGGACAGCAGCACTATAGATCCTGATCTTGGTTGGAGTCTTTATAGTTCTGCTATTCCAAATGTTCCAGAGCTGATGAAAGGCGCCATTAGCCTTCTGGATACGGACATCCAGGTCTCTGTTGATTGTCCCATCCCCACTAATAGTTGCACCCAGGTAGACAAAGTTGCTAACCTGCTCGACGGGTTCACCCTCAACCGACAGCTCAATACAATCATCCTTGATGAAAGGTCGCTGGGAGGCGCACTTGCTTACAGCCATGCATTGGGTCTTCTTTGCATTTATTCTGAGCCCAGCGTAGGAGCTGTAATGAACTAATAGATCAGTTGATTCCTGTAGGCCTTCCCCTGAGTTGTCCATAATAGCCATGTCATCAGCATAATCGGTGTCCAGAATGATCTTTTCCTCGACCGTCTTCATCTCTTTCTGCAGCACTGCGCCTTGACTGATGATCTTGTTGGTCTCAGCCAGAAATGCAGAAAAGTTTAGGCAGAAATTAAAGACAGGAGGTGCTTGAATGTCACCCTGACCTGTGCCTGAGTTAACATCAAATCAGTCTGTCAGCTCCCCATTAACCCTCACGGCACTCATGGTACCCCCAAAAAATGACTGAAATATTCTGACATATTTTTCAGGCAGCCCATAGTGTCTCATACTGCACCAAATAAAGTCCCTTCTGATAGAATCGAACGCTGCCTTGAAATCCACAAAATTAATGTAAGTAACGAAAGGTTTAGGGAAAAAGGCCAGGTACAGAAAAGTTTTACGGCAGCATCTTGAACATATTATAGTCATCTATTGACTTATTGATAAAATAGCAGTATTGAGACTTGAAGAATGGCGGTCTTTCACAATAAGACAAAACAGTCACTTTCAGTTAATTGGTTCATGGCAAAAAATGGGCAATATTCAAATCAAAAGACAATGCTAATAGGATTGCGACGCCAATATATCAAGCAGGGCGTATAGTCTTAAGTTGATACAATTTTATACGTTTATAAATTGTGTCATTAAAACATTAAACGGTACGAATAACACTTATGAATGAATAGATTCATTTGATGCTCTACTGGCAGAGTATGAAACTATATAGACTATTGTTGACTGAACCATTCTAAACAGTATATTGAGTGGTATACCTACTCTTCCTCCCAGTAATTTTCAAGAAAGTTAAAGATTCTTAATTGTTGCAGCTTGAAAAGCGATAAACTACATTTGTGTAGTCAGTTGTCTAATGAGATCCTGGAGATGTTCGCTATTTATCAGTCTCTTGATAAGATAATGATTCAAAGGATAATATCCGGTAGTAGAGACTAGGTAGGACAAGTGAAACCTACAGCTGCGTTTGCTCCTAAACAATAGTTCCACTTGTCTCTACTACCGGATATTATCCTTTGAATCATTATCAGGTGTCTAAGTTACATTGAAACTGAGGTATATTGAAACGCTGATCTTCTACATTTAACTAAAAAAGCAGTTTCCCTTTGTTCTATCAACGTGATATTTCGAACACTCAGCATTAAAAAAATGAACTTATAAATGATGTTCCTATCCACTTCCAGATAAAACATAAAGTTGGTATAAGGGTGTTAATTAAATTAGCAATTAATAATTTTAAAAGTTTATTTGGTATTTGGCTAATAGTAATACTGTTTTAATTCCAAAGATCAGGCTAAACTATATTATAGTTTAGGCTAAACTGTATTATAGTTTAGGCTAAACTGTATTATAGTTTTACAATCGATTTGGAATTTGCGCTTAATATTTGTATCTTTTTGATCACCCAGCAAACCTTACTGGCTAGACGTGTTACTAGAGGTGATCGCGCCCGCGCTTAAGTTTATTGCACGCGTGACGCATTCCAGCTTCACGTGACACAATTCAGCCAATCAGAGGACAAGAATCTGCAAAGTTAAAGCTGCGAACTTTTATTAGACCCAAAATAAGACTTTTTGGGATAACTCAAAATCTACGAAGTCCCTAATTTTCCTCCTGGGGAGGAAACGTTATTTTTACAAGGCGAACATTTGTCAAAAAAACCGGACGATTCTATTTATTTTACTTTTGGAGATGGGCCCCAGCCGATAAACTATAAGGTTTCCTGGGCGTAAATTAATCTTTATAGGTACTGGTAGTTTCAAATCTTATACAAATTTGTAATTTAGATATCCATGGTTATCACAAACTTTTAAATTTTCAAGGATTTAAATATTCGAAGTAATGCGTACAACATCGTAAAGCGTGATCAAACCACAAAAGATCTCAATGCAACGAACAAATGATTAAAAACACACAAGAAACCCCAGCGTATATCAAGTAACCGTCGCTTTACATAAATCTATTGTGATATCTTATTGTATGATTGAATTTCTTCCATTGCACCGTTCATCCACATAATTTCTGCTTTCCATTTTATGACTTTTTGTAACGATCATAGGACGACCGGACGACGGCGTGTTGTTCAAATTTCTTTGATTTGTTACACTTACGCTGTTACACTTTGACAGCGATAAGCCCAATTGATTGGCCGATGTCACACTTTATTTGGGTAATCACTGGAACGTTTAAAAACATATTTGCGTTATTGAAATCTCTCACTGGTACATTTTGATTTTCCGATCGCCCATGGTGCGGCATTGTTTTATTGAACTGTAAATGCAACACAGGACCATTTGATATTGTGATTCAGGTCTATACACAGTAAACCGGAAATAAAATGTTGTTCTCAAAGCCCAAATACAACTGCAGTGGGGAGTGGACAATTCTTTTGAAAAATTTACACTCATGATTCTGGATGGTGATTGGTCATGGCTGGAACAGACATGGTTGAAGTTTACCTCTCAACCAGTCGGCGGACTGGGTCGGGCTTCTTGCAAACTGCCCATCATGCCTGAACAACAACAAAAATATTTTTAGTTGTAGTTATCTCCCGTCGTGGTAGACCATAGTAAAATTCAAATATTTTTTAAACTGACCTGATTTAATTGCGAGTGTTCTGTGAACTGTGCGGGTGAGTTTCCATTCTTTAGGCTAAGTCCCATGGTCTTCTTTCCTCCCTAGAGTGTAGTAAAACTTTCATTAACCATAATTAAAAATAAACTTATGTTGAATTTAAATCAAGCTCAAACATATCTAAAGTTGCAGTTTTGCGTGCCCTGCACAACTGTCATATGAAAATGCAACCAGACAGCGAATTTAAAGATACTTGAATGCACCACTTAAGACATATCCATGATTTCCCATCAAATGAGATCAAATTTGAAGTTCGCTAAATCACTTTCGGCACTAAGTCAAACCATTAAACAACTCTGCGACCTTAAACAGATGGTTAAATGGTTCCAGCAAAATGTATATCATATATATATTCGCATTTTGTCGATTCCCAGTAGTTTAGTATATTCGTTGGTCGAACTAGATTGATAAGTTTTGAAACTAATCGGTTGCTGTGCTTTACACAAGGGCAAAATGGTTATTATTTTTAAAGCTTTCAAATTTTAAAGCATCATGTCAAATGTATTCAAGATTTACCCATAATAAGTATAAAAGCAGAATAACGCATTTTACTAGGTCGAACAAGATAATTTATTAAATTTTGGGACGGACCAAGCAGTTCAATTACACGGCTCATGGAACTTAGGGGTAGAACCTTGGTAAAGAAAGGAACATGGTCCAAATAAGGGCAACTCACCAGATCTCGACAGAGTGAAGAGTTTAAAGAATTCAATATCATCAAAATTAATTTGTTTTTGATTAAAGAATAAAGGCCGATCAGGCTTGATTCAAATGTTTGTGGTTTAATCTCAATAAAACTGCGATTAAACAGAGCTACAAAGTGTACAGGTTAAACAGAATCATCCCCGCTAGAGTAATCAATACAATAAACCTAAAATCATTGTGATAGAGCATTCCACCAGGAGATTGAAATCGAACTAATTAAATTATTGTAGTATCACATAGTTGCATTTAGTATCCTTTTAGAATTGAAATTGTTCCCATGTTCATTGTCTTGATGTGTGGCTATAAATTAAAAGCATTCAGAATCAAGTAAGTCCTGATTGAAAGCGGTCAAATTAAGAGTAATTAAGTAATTATGATCGGTCAAAACTATATGAGCACTTTGAGCAGTGAAGTGCCAGTTAAGGCATGGTTCATATTCACCAAATCTCAACTATCGGTTGAAGTCATTCGCAAAAATTTTAAAGAGATAGTGTGATTCTATTATAAGCTGCTTATGTACTTGGATGGACATAATTCATGATTGTTTTTATTTTAGCTTATGTCGAATGTTAAAATTTTGAAAAAATAAACGGTTCCCAAGCTGTAAAAGCACAGATAAGGCGTGACCAAGGACAAAATAAGCCAAGCTTATAATAAGCCAAGCTTATAATCGGACTGTTCCTAAGGAACAGTCCGATTATATCTGACATTATATTACAGATATGAACAGACTAACATCAACTATAATGAGACATGTGGATCTTTTAATTCATTAATTGCACTTCTACTCTTATATAGTAGTTATATATAATTAGAGCCATGTCTAATCTCCAGAAGAAATTATAGATAATTAATCGGATACTCTGGACTGATCTTGTGGTCATGGTTTTAATCAAGAATGTAACCATTTCCATCAGCGATCAGTGCATCATGTTGAACACTATGGCTCCAAAGTTCAACCTTCTTAATTATAATGTTCAACTTGAATTGGGTCGGATATCCGTTATTCCAACAGGAATTTGGCACATTTACATTGAAATTGCAGTTTTGGTATGTCTATTTGTGCTCGTCGTTGAGAAACTGCTTATAATCAATGTGATCTTTATTCAGAGTTTGAGCTGTCTACATAATATCACGATAAAATATTAAAATAGTCTGATCCCATTATTTGTACAATTAGTCATATTTATTCATTACTTACTATGCATTCAATTAATATATAAATAACATATAAACAACGTGAATTGTGAATGAGTTCGCAACATTTATCAGAAGAAGCTGAAATTCGAGAGAAATACAACGGGGATATGGATGTTTTGCAAACAGAAACTAGCGACAATAAATCATCGTTCGAGCAGATAAGTTATCTAACTATCTAAGAAACTAAAAAATAACCATTTCAAAGCAGAATAATCGGCTATAAAAACGGAAGTTTTTATAGTCGATTATACTCTTAAAGGGCCCCTGGCAGTTGAAATCTACTTGAGTAGATGTATTTTCGAACGCTGATTCCGAATCACCCCACATGACTAATGACTTAGGGTTAAAATGCTCCCCTAGCAAGATATCAGCGAAAAACTGGGTTAGGGTTTCAGCATATGCTTCAGTTAGGGATTGGGTTAGACTTAGGGTTAGGGTTGGGATCAAATTAGAGGGTTAGGGTTTCGAATAGATATTCAGAGCCACCTAGAGGACGTGTTAAAAAATTCACGTGACAGTCGAGTGTAGAGTGATTAATCATCAACTTTAAAAACTACCAGGTTGCTGTTATGTCTGATCAAGCTACGAGCTAATCAGCCATGCCAATTATTATATTGGAGATGCTTAAGACAAGGCGGCGGTAAGTGTTGCAATAGATGATGTGGAGCTAAAGACAAAGCGGTGATAAGTGTGGCAAAAGATGAAAGAAGTAACGAGATAGTTATCTGCATACAGGAAAATAGTTATGAAGATGTTGGGTGAAAAAACCTAACGTCAATTACACTGCGAGAGAACCGGTTAAGTTGTAACTGGACCAAACTTAAGACTTGTGAAAGTACCATCGACCATTACAAAACTTCCTGAACTGATCACATTTACTGGGCGGCGCTCAGTCTGTCATTCCGACGAATCTATATTCTGCCGAATCTCTATTCCGTCGAATCTCTATTCCGCCGATTCTCTATATCCATTGATATTTACTGGGCGGCGCTCAGTCTGTCATTCCGACGAATCTCTATTCCGCCGAATCTCTATTCCACCGAATCTCTATTCTCTTTGTTTATGAACATAATAGCCCTAGGTAAATCACATTTGATGAGAGACTAGAGAGGGTCAAAAACACAATTAAATCTAATTCAATTAATATGGTGTGTATTTAAAGTAATTTTCCTTGCCACTTTGTTTATGTTTTAATCATTTTCCTAACGAATAACGATCTGCTCCGACCTGAGTATGTTTTCAAGTTCTTCGGACCAATATATCCGCTTCAATCGATATTTATGGAAATATGAACTAATCCCGCTTTTGATATTTTTAAGATCACTCTATCTATTGACGGGTTGAAGTCATTCGCAAAAATTTTAAAGAGATAGTGTGATTCTATTATAAGCTGCTTATGTACTTGGATGGACATAATTCATGATTGTTTTTATTTTAGCTTATGTCGAATGTTAAAATTTTGAAAAAATAAACGGTTCCCAAGCTGTAAAAACACAGATAAGGCGTGACCAAGGACAAAATAAGCCAAGCTTTTAATAAGCCAAGCTTATAATCAGACTGTTCCTAAGGAACAGTCCGATTATATCTGACATATTACAGATAATATATGAGCAGACTAACATCAACTATAATGAAACATGTGGATCTTTTGATTCATTAATTGCACTTCTACTCTTATATAGTAGTTATATATTTAGAGCCATGTCTAATCTCCAGAAGGAATTATAGATAATTAATCGGATACTCTGGACTGATCTTGTGGTCATGGCTTTAATCGAGAATGTAACCATCTCCATCAGCGATCAGTGCATCATGTTGAACACTATGGCTCCAGAATTCAACCTTCTTAATTATAATGTTCAACTTGAATTGGGTCAGATATCCGTTATTCCAACAGGAATTCGGTACATTTACATTGAAATTGCAGTTTTGTTATGTCTATTTGTGCTCGTCGTTGAGAAATGAGACACTGCTTATAATCAACGTGATCTTTATTCAGAGTTTGAGCTGTCTACATAATATCAGGATAAAATATTAAAATAGTCTGATCCCATGATTTGTACAATTAGTCATATTTATTCATTACTTACTATGCATTCAATCAATATAAATAACATATAAACAACGTGAATTGTGAATCAGTTCGCAACATTTATCAGAAGAAGCTGAAATTCGAGAGAAATACAACGGGGATATGGATGTTTTGCAAACAAAAACTAGCGACAATAAATCATCGTTCGAGCAGATAAGTTATCTAACTATCTAAGAAACTAAAAATAACCATTTCAAAGCAGTATAATCGGTTATAAAAATGGAAGTTTTTATAGCCGATTATATTTATACTCTAAAAGGGCCCCTGGCAGTTGAAATCTACTTAAGTAGATGTATTTTCGAACGCTGATTCCGAATCACCCCACATGACTAAGGGGTTAAAATGCTCCCCTAGCAAGATATCAGCGAAAAACTGGATTATGGTTTCAGCATATGCTTCAGTTAGGGATTGGGTTAGACTTAGGGTTAGGTTTGGGATCAGATTAGGGTTTCGAATAGACATTCAGAGCCACTTAGAGGACGTGTTAAAAAATTCACGTGATAGTCGAGTGTAGAGTGATTAATCATCAACTTTAAAAACTACCAGGTTGCTGTTATGTCTGATCAAGCTAAGAGCTAATCAGCCATGCCAATTATTATATTGGAGATGCTTAAGACAAGGCGGCGGTAAGTGTTGCAATAGATGATGTGGAGCTAAAGACAAAGCGGTGATAAGTGTGGCAAAAGATGAAAGAAGTAACGAGATAGTTATCTGCATACAGGAAAATAGTTATGAAGATGTTGGGTGAAAAAACCTAACGTCAATTACACTGCGAGAGAACCGGTTAAGTAACCAAACTTAAGACTTGTGAAAGTACCATCGACCACTACAAAACTTCCTGAACTGATCACATTTACTGGGCGGCGCTCAGTCTGTCATTCCGACGAATCTCTATTCCGCCGAATCTCTATTCCGTCGAATCTCTTTTCCGCCGATTCTCTATGACTATATTGTATATCCATTGATATTATATTTACTGGGCGGCGCTCAGTCTGTCATTCCGACGAATCTCTATTCCGCCGAATCTCTATTCCGCCGAATCTCTATTCTCTTTGTTTATGAACATAATAGCCTGGGGTCCCCAGGTAAATCACATTTGATGAGAGACTAGAGAGGGTCAAAAACACAATTAAATCTAATTCAATTAATATGGTGTGTATTTAAAGTAATTTTTCTTGCCACTTTGTTTATGTTTTAATCATTTTCCTAACGAATAACGATCTGCTCCGACCTGAGTATGTTTTAAAGTTCTTTGAACCAATATATCCGCTTCAATCGATATTTATGGAAATATGAACTAATCCCGCTTTTGATATTTTTAAGATCACTCCGGCATTTGCGTAACGTAAAAATCTTCCAGGGTCAATATGGCAGTTGAAATCTCCAGTGATTGAATTTATTTCGGAAGCTCTTCCCAAATCACATAAGATAATATAAGGGTGGAGAAGCTTCCCTGAAAACTACTTTGATCAGGAACAACAGGCAACGTTACGCCACTGATCAGGAAGAAGGTCAATTTTCTCGTTAGGTCTTAGGGGATGTTTGGTCATTGCAAAAGGTTAAACTCTTGGATTATGCATCAGACAAGCCTACAGACGTGCAACAACAAAACTAGTAACGTGAGGGTGATTACAGTAGACTGATAATCCACCATACACAAAAATTGAGAAAGTGAGTACGTATTTAAACGATCAGGAGTGTGCATTAGGAACGCATGGTTATAGCTTTATAACAAATCACTACGTGTGCGTCTCTTTGTCGTCATCCTATCGCAATTGGACAGTTGGACGACGCGACGTGACGAGTTACCTAGTAACATCTCGTGTTACCTAGCAACATCACATGTTACGACGTGTCCTTCAGTAATTATAAACGGTCAATTAATTGTGTTTTTTAAGAACAATCAGAGCTGAATCTAACGTTTGACGCCATGACTCATGTACATGTTTCATTCAAGCATCTGATAAAATTGTAGCAGAAATTGTAGCAGAAAATTGTAGCAGAAAATTGTGCAACCATGTGCGACAAACCATGTATTCAAATACGAAATCTTTAATTGAGAAAGAGGATCCTGTATAATGGGATAATGCAGAAATACGCACAGATAAGTGACCGTTTATACTTTTATAGACATTTCGGCATATATAAAGTAAAGAGAAATTGTCCGAATCCAATAAATAGAAGATATACATGTACTAAATATTATTATAAAATAGAGAGATACATGTTATACATTATACAACTACCTTACAAGACACATTTATGGCGGCTTAATTTGCGACGACCGAAATTTTGGCGGTCCGAAAATATGGCGAAATTGAACAAAAACCGTCAAATTTCGGACGTCACAGAAAATAAGGGTATTTTTCATCATTTTTTGTGACAGTAAGCAGTAAGGAAATTTCTGAAATTCGGTAAAATCATGTTCAAACTTAGTCTGTATTAAGACTGTAAGACTTTCATGTTAGCACATACATGTATTTTAATGCAAATTTAAACTGTATTGCTTGACATTCAATTCGTCATTGGTGTGGTGATAATTTGTCCCAAGATGCCAGAATTTATTTATTTATTTTACTTGATATTACTTTTTAGAAACAAAATAAAGCAGTGAAGGCACAGTCATTGAAATAAGCTAAAAGATAATGCGACGGATTCTATTACGACGACCGAAATTTTGGCGGTCCGAAAATATGGCGAAATTTTCGGAAAACCGCCACATTTCGTACTTTATAAATATGTCTTGTAAGGTATTACTTACAACACACTTACACCAAACTTACACCACACTTCCACCACACTTACACCACACTTACACCACACTTACACCACACTTACACCACACTTACACCACACTTACACCACAGTTAGACCACACTTAAACCTCACTTAAACCTCACTTACTTGTCTGAAGGGAGATAGAATTGATCCACAAAACCGCGAACTGCTCTTCATTTCAAAAACTGGAGTCTCCGATACCTATACTAATTAACTTATGATTCAATTATGATTAATTGACGAAAAAGGATAACAATAATGAAAAAAAATAATACAATTAATGTGAAAATAGGGCGAAATTCGACTAAAAAAGTAAATACTTAAAGCAGAGGAACGATTTACTAACAATCTCAATTATACATTAGATATTGCAAGCGGAAATTGTGGAAATCGTGCGAATCAGCAACCGTAATTGATAAATGATCGTCATACTTGTATTTATACCGTCACTAGTGCAATATCTTTAAAAGTTTGAACATACTGTCACTTATCTCGAACATATTATGCATAGGATATGCTGTAATGAGTACTTCAATGTTTAATCGCCATTTACAGTGAGTGATTGGTCTCAAAAAGTTCACTGTTTTTGGGAGAAGTGTACGCCACAAACGAGATACGGTATAATTACTCACTAACAAGACTCCTCGTGCTTTGTTGTCTAAACGCAAAATCACGATGCAATACACTTGCAATGCCAGGTAAACCAAAGTCTAGGCCAACATTTCAACAAAGCCATGTCAATTAATACTATCCTGGTAGCACAGACCCTGCCACAAGATCATGGGTCATAACACAAAGAAAAGTCTGTCAGCTGTACACAAGCACTGCCTTGTGTAATTACAATGATTTATTGGCGGTGGGATCCTGTCATATCACACACTGTAGCTTGACGTAGTTCCAGTGATTACAAGGAGGATAATTATACGGATATTATAAAGGCTCTTTGTGTAGTAACCTAGAAACTGTGTCGTAGTAGTAACCTATTGTACCTAGTAGTAACCTAGTAACATATGGTAACCTAGTAACCTAGACAGTGTGGGAAGTGTTGGAGAATTTAATAATCTTAGCTGAGCAGTGCACAAATGGTATACATGCGAGTGGTGTGCGATCTTACTAATTCTATGGCGTCTAATTTTTCTTGTGTTCTATCAATATCATATCCGGAGTTAATGACATCATGCTGTTTCCTGACCTATTTATCGGTTGAACCTTCATACGCATCAGATCTTCGAACAAATTATTCGATTGGACAACACAAACACTATGTTTAATTAAATTCATTTAATAAAAAATTGAAGTAAAATACATTTTTTGCTCATAATTTCTTTTGCTTAGGAGCCCAGTGTGATCATGTAAAATGTAATCTTGTAAACACGATGTTAACATGCTGCATGTGTTTCTCCTCCGCAAGCGTTTCTCCTCCGCAAGCATATTATATCATAATATCAATATTGAGAACAAATAGGTATTTCACAATTCACTTCAATTGGTAATTTCACTATCACTATAAGTACTATAACATTCGCTACCCAACATAGTCATAAACCAATCATTCCAACGGAACCTTTACAATATAAACTGTAGCGCAAAATGTTCTGAACATTTTACGGTAGTAATTAAAAATAGTTAAACGGATGTATTGCTGGATAGCAATTTAAAAGTTTAAAAAGTAATCCTGGTCCCAATAAATTCTGATCTTTTCGTGAACCGTCATAGTTTGAATAATTGTCAATGGGTAAAGGGTTGCTGGGTGTCTTTATAAAGGAGCAGAATCAGAAACTCCCTCGTTGAGCTATGATGCTGAACTTTCTGTCAGCATGATCTGAAATAGTTGGATATACATATGGCATGATTTTAGGCTGGGACTAAATATGACTAAGTAGTAAGTAATTTTATTACAGGTAAAGTAATGAGGAAGATATTTATATATATTTAGTGATGAGAAAAGCAGCACAATATAATGTCCATATCATCTTAATGTGTTTTTCATCAGTTCCAGAAAGTACAGAAAACCATCGAAAAAGAAACGCAAAAATGACAGCCTGTCATTCCGCCGAATCTCTATTATGTTTATGAACATTATAGCCTGGGGTCCCCAGGTAATGACAGTTAGATCACCCGGCATTCATTTTCTATAATGATCAAACTATACAAGGCCCGGAAATAAAATGTATTGAGATCGATCCCCCTGGTATGGTAAGACACCCCGTATTTTCATGTAAAACGGTTGATTATCTTGTTCTCAGTTCGCTGATAAAGCGTGAAAAATCGATAAAAAGATAGTTTGTTCATTGTTCATTCATTTTGAATCTCCCAATAAGCAATTATAGGTTATTGCATAATTAATGAAGCTATTAAAATTGTGATCATCCTTTTATTGTAAGACAACATTTTTAGGGCTCTTACTAAATCGCTCGCCCAAAAATTTCACGTGACTTTGGTTTTTTTGGTTTTGCAGCCGCGTACAAAACGGTTTTACATAAACCCTAATCCCAACCCTAACCCTAACCATAACCCCGAAGCTATCCATAATCTTAACCACAACCCTAACCCTAACCCGAGCCCTAAATAATCGAATTCACGTTTTACTACTACTAGCCTGTCACGTGACCAAAACGGTTTTTTGCCCATAACTCTCCAGGGAAGCATTTTAACCCTACGTCATGGGGGGTGATTCGGAATCAGCGTCCAAAAATACACCGATCCTGATCACTTTCGTGCCTAAAGGGCCTTTTCACAAGAATTTTCTTAAAATTTGGGCGAGCGATTTAGTAGGAGTGCATTTTTAGCTAACTATAAGTTTCATGCCAGATAACAATTGTGTATCAAATTTACAGCAGGCTACATTTGTTGATCTTACTAAAATAATTTAGTAAAGCACTTTGTTTAAAAAAGAAACACAGAGATAAACTGTACCTACGGTGTTACAGTTATTGTCGTTGGCTGGAGTGGAGCATGAAGGCGATGCACTTTGAACCCTGGTATTGTCATCTCCGCGTGACCTGTCGGGGAAGTAAATTAATTATGAAAGATATCCACTTAAATATTTTATTAAACGTGACCTGTCTGGGAAATAACTTTAATTACGAAAAATATTCACTTAAATATTTTATTTAACGTGACTTGTCAAGAAAGTAAGTTATAGTGAAAAGCCCAGATTCACTTCACTAGACTTATTGTTGACCGTAATCCATTTTTGGACGCATTCTGTATACATTTTAATTGTATTATGTATTGACTATAGTTTAAACATTCGTTGGTGTTGTTGTATCGTGTTTGTCTCAATTTTTATTTTCTGTGAAGTGCCCACTTGATATACTTTATCGACATTTTATTTTTCGCTCCGCAGGTTTTCTCGAAAACTTGTTGATAAGGCTTCATTTGTATTTCAAAACAGATTCTTGATTCTTTTTATATGATACTATTGTGTACATGATGAAGTCGCCAAACCTGTAGCAGAAAACACTTTTTGCCCGTAAAGCCTTCTTCTACTATTTTATTCTTATTATGAAATTAAATCGTGCTTCTTATTATTTATATCCCATGCTTATATCAACAACGAATATTATGATAAATACAAAATTGTTGATGTTGAAGCAGCTGACATGGTGACACTTGTCGTGGAAGAAATTTAATTATGAAAGATATTTTATTAAACGGGTCCCGGGAAGAAACTTAATTATGAAACATATACTCTTAAACTCTTAAATAGGTACTTTATTTTAAAGATAAACTAAACTCTCTCCGACCATTTCGAATCTGTCCTGGGTATTATTGTGGTCTGTGGAGAATATGATATTGATATGCTAGTAAAAATGATACTTTTAACGTTTTATCACTAAGATCACAATTTTTCTAGGACACCTTTCTTAATGGCGGTTTGTAAATGATTCTAATGTTATTCATGTCTAATATGTGGATGAGAAAGCTGCCTGATAGGGAATAATTTAGCGAGCTACCTTTTTTCTCTCTTTGAGCAAACTTGCCACAGGTACATATTATAGGTCCAGGATCATGATATATAAAACTAAGTGAGCGGAGCTTACTTACTCTGATACATATTGATATAACACTATATCATTATCACTATCAGCTTCATTTTACTAGACACATTATATGGCAATATTACTTTTTATTAATTCGCATCGCTTTATATCTTCACTTCGAATAAAAATGTTTTATAAAACTCTGATGGATAGTTTTTTAACAGTGTCTTCGATTAGCACAGATACAATTAAAAAACACGCTGTTCTATGATTTTTGGTGTTTTTGATCAACTTGGCTACCAAGAAGTTTGTTTTAAAGTTTTAATCATCATGCAGATTGCAACAAATCTTCAAAACTCAAATTCGAGCTCAGTCAATATTCGGCTTGATATTTGGATGACATAAAAAGATGCCAATTTTGATTGCTGTAGATTTCTCTGAATGAAGGCAATCTACTAATTTAAGCGAGACTCGAGCTACGAAAGCACCATATTAATTTTGCAAAATATATCGTGCTAAGATTAAAAGGTTGTGCAGCTAACCTGACGGTTTGAGCAGAATTGCATCGTCTAGGGAGAGGCGGGAGTTTGTTTGAAGTGTCTGGGTTTACGTAAAGTGCAGGGTTAGGGGTGTTGGTGTCTTCGTTACCACTATCTTCTACCTAAACGTTATGTAGTTTGATCTTTGAATTTGCTTCCAAATTGAAAATCGTTGTTGAAACAAAAAAACGCGAATGAAACAATTAAATTTCATATTGTAAGAAGCCTAATGGGTTGTATGGCCTGGATTAACCGGCCTTAACTTCTTCCGGTCTTTCAAAGTTTCAAAACTTTTTAAAAACGGAGATATTAGGATGAAAAAGGTACACGTATGTGTAACTCTAAAAAGATATGTGTAGCTTTATGATTTGTACACTAAGCTTACTGTATCCGCTGCAGAATTGTGGTAGTACTCCGGAGTTACTAGTTTCCTTATCTCCTTCTCAAGAGAGCCCCGCTCAATGAAACCACTCTCAGACATTGGGGTCACTACCTGAATACGGGGAAAATTAATGATTTATTTGGAGGAAGTGCATCGTTTACAGTATTTGTCATACGTTATATGACCCGTCGCGCACGAGTACGCGGCCCCCTGTATCGTATAAACGATACAGGGTCACGACGTGATAGCAATACTGAATACAGTATTTATCTGAAAAAACTGCGTTACGATGAAAGTTGAAACCATATGCTGTCTTGTAGCTAAAAATTTATAAAGTGACTCAGTGTTGCTTTGGCGGGTAGCTCAATTTAATGTTGAAGTTTAACGGTGAAAATTTGTCAACAAGTGCAAACAAAACTGCAGTTCTATGTCAGGTGTCATTGGTGGACATTCGCTTCACAGCTCATCAAATGACAATGGTACCCGATTGTTGGACTTTTGCATTGCCCACCAACTTACCATCGGTGGCACTATGTTTCAGCAAAAGGATATACATAAAGGTACGTGGAGATCACCTGATGGTCGTACTGTAAACCAAATAGACCACATCTGTATCAGTAAGAAGTTTGGAGGCTCTTTGCTAAATGTAAAAGTTTGTAGGGGGGCTGACATTGGGTCTGATCACTATTTGGTAAGAGCACGACTGAGAATGAAGCTTATGTCAGTGAAAAAGAAGCAGGAACGTAAGCTTGAGATTCCTGCTATTGAGCATCTGCGTGATCATTCACTTGTTTCCGAATACAATATTGTTCTGAGAAACAAATTTGACTGTTTGGAACCTGAGGTTGACCTGGAATCAATGTGGGACAACTTCAAGACAACTGTCCAACAAGTTTCCATGGAAATCCTTGGGCAAAGACCTCGAAAAAAGAAGGACAGGCACCAATCTCAGAAGACAAAAGAATTATTGAAGAACCGTAAGGAATTTAAGCGTAAAGACCCTAATTCAAACGCTAACAGATCAGAGTATTCTAGATTGAATAAGCTCTTTAAAAAAAGTAGCGAGGTGGACGATAACAACTGGGCACGTAGAATGGCCAATGACTTGGAAGAAGCTGCTAGAAAAGGTCAGCAACGTGAGGTATGGCAGAAGATCAATGTCATATCTGGAAAGAAGAAGAAGCAGTCAACTGCAGTTAGAGACGTATCTGGCCAGTTGATTGCCGACCCACATGCCCAGAAAGAAAGGTGGAAAGAGCACTTCTCTAGGCTATTGAACCCTCCCCCGCAAGAGGCCAATATTTCTGACCTAGACAACATCCCTCCGCAACCCAGTTTTGACGACCTTTCCGACTCGGATGAAGCTCCTACAAGAAACGAGATTGTTGATGCCCTCAAAAAACTCAAGAATCACAAAAGTCCAGGAGTGGATGGTATCACCAACGAGCAACTTAAGTATGGACAGGATGGGTTGGTCGATCAACTAGTTGTGTTGTTCAAGAAAGTGTGGGAAGATGAGAAGATTCCTGAGGATTGGTCCAAAGGTGTTATTATCATCGTTGGAAAGAAAGGTGACACCTCTCATTGCGCTAACAACAGAGGCATTACTTTAAGATCCACAGCCTCGAAGCTCCTACAGATGATACTCCTGCGGAGACTTAGCAATGGCATGGAAAAATTCCTCCGGGAGAATCAAAGTGGTTTTAGACAGAATCGCTCATGTATTGACCAGGTTTATTCACTCCGCTGTATTATACACCAATGCATTGAGTATAATATCCCTCTGTATATTAATTTTGTTGATTTCAAAGCAGCTTTTGATTCAATTGACAGGCAGTTCATTTGGAGAAGTATGCAGCACTACGGCTTACCTGACAAGTACATTAGAATTATGAAGGCGTTCTTCACTCACACAGTTAGTGCTGTTAGGGTCAATGGAGAGGTCACTGGTTGGTTTGATGTCAACTCGGGTACTGGGCAAGGTGATATACAGGGACCACCAGTCTTCAACTTTTGTTTGAATTTTTCGGCATACCTTATGGAACTGAACAAGGTCATTAGCAAAGGGGCTTTATTGCAGCTGCCAGCCCCCGGGGTAGAAGAGAAACATCTTTTGGACACTGATTACGCTGATGACATGGCCATGTTAGATAACTCAAAAGAGGGGCTGCAGGAAACCACTGACCTTCTCTGCAAATACAGTGCCTATGCGGGTCTGAAGATTAATGCTGGCAAAACACAGAGCATGGTTGTCAGCAAAAGTGCATCGCAGAGGCCGTATTCTAAAGACGACACTATGGACATCAATGTGGAAGGTCTCCCAATACAGCAGGTCAGCAATTTCACTTACTTGGGTGCAATCATCAGTGCGAATGGAACAATTGACAAAGAACTGTCAGCTCGAATTCAAAAGGCCTCTGGGGCATTCTATCAGCTCAGCAGTATATGGTACAGTCGCAACATCAAGACTCCAACTAAAATCAGGATTTACAAAGCGGCTGTTCTCACTATACTGCTTTATGGAAGTGAGGTATGGAATACCACACAGACGCAGATGAAAAGATTTGAGGTGTTCCATCATAGATGTCTGAGGAGAATCCTGAAAATAAAATGGTTTTATCATGTATCTAATGCTGATGTACTTAAGCGGGCTAACATCGCCCCTGTTGATACTTTCGTACGAGCAGCTAGACTCCGATGGTTTGGCCATGTGGTGAGGATGCCAGAAGAAAGAATACCCAACTATCTTCTGCACTGGATCCCAAAGCATGGTAAAAGGTCGAGAGGTAGACCTAGGAAAAACTGGTTGTCATGTGTCCGGGAGGATGCAGCAATCTTCACAGGTGTCGATAACATCACGATAGAAGATGCAGAACAACAAGCTACAGACAGGCACTGGAGAGGTCTAATACACCGGAGAAAGGAGTTACTATGTGGTGCAGGCCACTCCAACGACTAGGAGGAGACCTTTTCAAGTACAAGTAAGCAAACAAAAATTAAACTTAAACATACTTTTAACCGTCTCTGTCTCCTTCTCTTCAAACAAAAATTAAACTTGAACCTACTTTTAACCGTCTTTGTCTCCTTCTCTTCAAACAGTATACAGCGAGCAACAGTGGTCCAACCAACACAACAAATACAACTGACAGCACCGAAGAGAGAATTATCTGAGGTAGCTTGAAATTCAGAATAATTTATTTGCGAGTTTTTGAACATTGTTTTTTGATAGAATTAGTCAGATTCAGAATCACATTCGTGAATATTTTAACTTTGATGTTGGTGTACTGCTTTAGTCAGAGTCACAATCATATCAGTTTCCATATTGAACCCTATTTTATTTATGAAATATTATTTCTATTTAATTAGTTTGATGGAATAAGATAATTATATAACTATCAGTATAACCTCCGTAGTTGACTCCGATCCCAACGAACTAGAAGGCTCCGGGGACAGAATCAGTCTCAGAAACCTGATGTCCGTTTGACCTGAATGGATATTGTTAAGTGGCTGAGGGCTGCCAACAAACGCCTCAAGTGGAGGTTCACTGTTTGGTCCTGTGTTGCTCAAAATAGTTGCAAATTACACATGCTAATTACCTGCATTGTGTTAATTACCTGCATTGTTTGTAGCCCTGCATTCCCAAGTTCCAGCATCCCCGCTGCTCATTGATTCTATTCTCAACAAAACCTCTTTAACTGCACTAAACCTGGGTAACAAGGAAACAATTAATTATGGTAGCCATGCCAAAAACAGACTATGTCATTAGAACGTTTACGTACGTCACAGATCGTGATGGTTTAATCCAAAGCCTTTCACAAAAACCCTCTAATCACAATTCCACTCAATTGACACGCATACAAATATTTAAAATTTGTCTCACTGTCAAACTTGAAAAAACTCGACACAAATATGCTACCTTCCGCTGGGAATGGTACTTGTTTTCTGTTTATAAAAACATAACGTCTTTGCTTTGCGAAGATTTCCAATAAAATTTCATAAAATTTATATTCTCGTTGTTACATGGTAACCAGATTATAAAATTGTATTAACTTATTAATACTACATAAATATTTTATTTATTAACTAAATTTGTTTTATTACTTTACCTTAGTTCAGAGTGTGTGTCAGATTGTTTGTACCAAGACACAGTTGGTTCCGGATCACCCGCAGCTCTACACACTAGGTCCAACTTATCACCCTGGTAACCAGGTATATAGTCATTACTAATTACAGGTCATTAACTGGTCATTAACAGGCGATAAATAGGTACGTGATCACCGTTTTAATAATTAATTTGTTTTACACCTTATATGGAAGTTTTAATATTTTTGTGACGTTCGAAAATACCATGACGAACTTGTCCTTGAACTAGATAAATTACGTTAATCATGACGACTAAGCACTATTTTGATGCGATGGTTGGGGTTTGGTAAATCATAGAATATCTTTTTTGTGAGCTTCTGATCTGGTGAGATTTTGATCAAGAAATCAAACTTTTATAATTTCAAAAGTTTGAAAACATGTTGAGTACTTTCAATGCAAATCCCTTAATCTGTAGCCAAATGATTGAATTCATGAATACCATGTGCTGCTCAGTGCTCATACGATTGAAACGTAGCCTGTTTTCTTTTTTATTCAAAAATGTATAATCAGAAGTTTTAAGGATCATCACTGATTAAATGAACAATAACAATTAATCATTTGAACTTGAAGAGCGGGGCAGGTTATATTAACTAGCAAAAACCCGTCTAACCCTTAAGTAGTATACCTAGTGGTATATACATAATATATATATATCGTCTCGCTTTATATATAGTAACTAGTAAGATGTTGCTATGGGGTAACAAGTCCCCATTCATCGTAGTCCGATAGTGTCACTGCACCCTGGCCTAATATTAAAAAGAACCGAACCTGTCTTTTCTCAATGAGAGGTGGCATATCGTATATCCTCGGCGGACTGTCTCCTAAAACTGTTACGATCACCGACTGAGATCGAGCTGAAATAGTGTTGAAATAGTGTTGAAATTGTGTTGAAATAGTGTTGAAATAGTGTTGAAATAGTGCTGAAATTTAATATACAGGCTGCATCATCACAAATTGAAGTGGTCATGTTTAATCTTAATGCTTTAATGGTTAAATTTAATATACAAGCTGCATCATACACTCATGAAACAGAAAGCGAGAAACCTTGAGACTGTTAGATTCGCGGAATAAAATCCAGCTGAAATTTAAGTGATCATGTTTAATCTTAAATCTTAATGCTTTATAAATAGTTAAGGAGTTAAGAAGAACCAGATGTGGGTGAGGTCCGCAGAGGTCACGAGGTGTCACGAGGTGTCATGAGGTGTCACGAGGTGTCACGAGGTGTCACGAGGTGTCACGAGGTGTCACGAAGTGTCATAAACGATTATAAACGATTATTTGTGAACCTCTTATAAGCTTATAAGTGCTTTGAAAGCGTTGATAAACGGTATAACAGTCTCGGAAATAGTAACTAATAATCGCTCAGTAACTGAAACTTGCCTATTTTATCACCACCATATTTTCTTATTTATTGCATGCACTTAGGTAAACTTACCTTTTAACGATACAGTAATTTGTCTGGTAAGAACCTATTAATATCAACTGACCGATCAACTGCTCAGTTTATTGAATAAATCAGGGTGAGAAGTCGGGGGATGCAGGCAACAACATTTTTATTGGATTGAGAAATAATCTTTGCATTTCTAAAATATAGTCACATTTTGATTAGGTATAACTGATGATGAAAGAAAATATTCTACCAATGTTATAAAAATATTATTGGAAGTTTAATTCGTTGTCTGATTGCGGGAAATATTGACTCTTGATAATATCGCATTTAAAAAAATTGAATACATTTTTAAAATTTCGATAATAAATAGCTGACTACTTCATGATCATGAAAGTTATATTATCTTCAATATATTATTATGCTGACTTAAAATGATATAACTTCATAAGTATGGTCATTTTGCGAATATAAGGAAGTGAAGATGTTCTTCTGTTGCAATTATAACCGTTATTCCAGTTGTTTTTACAGACTCATTACACTTACTGCAGTTGATTTTTATCAATTGATTGGAAAAAAGACTTTTCCACGATTTCATGTTTCGATCAAACAATTTTTGGGATGTTTTTCTCTGATCATTAATCATTATGGAGTTTTTGATTTAATTAACATTTTAAAGCAATACTTTTTACAGTAGCCCATTGGGTGATCAGTATTATAAAGTGCGCATAATATAATGTGCTACAGCACAATTTGCAGTAAATAGAAAACATTTTTCTGCTTCTTAACCACAAAACTGCGCAAATTGTGCTTTTTATTTAACGAGGGTATATTTTTACGAGGGTTTTGTAATTATTTTTGAATCGTTTAATCCGTATTACATTCGTGTTATTTAAATACCTATGAAGCATACCAGGTAAACGGTCACGTGTTACTTTGACGCGTAACATAGCTTATATAATAGGTCATGGGTAGCCTTCCGGCTAGTTTCGCTACCAGTACCACTCCCTGATCTGATTTCCTTAACTGCTGCTAATTGCTGCTAACTGCTGCTAACTGCTGCTAACTGCTGCTAACTGCTGCTAACTGCTGCTAACTGCTGCTAACTGTTGCTAACTGCTGCTAACTGCGCCATTTGCAGCACGGATATAACGATTAAGTCTGTTGTCAATAGTTTGATTTAAGCTAGCTCTGATCTTGGGCAAATGCAAATGTTTTATTTTGCAGAAACCACTTAACAAATTGAACACATTGTAGGAATTTTGTTCCCCGAAACGCGTTTTAGTCATGGAAACATATTGGTCCGAGCGAAAGACGATATTAATTTTTATTATAAGTTTATCTACAATGACAAAGTATAAGCAACTTTAAGTTTCAACCTTTGATGAGTAATCAAGCTAGTAGTGTATTATATGGCACGTACTGTTCACAGGTTGTGAGATATTCTAGGATCTGTAATAACGTTGTTGCTTTTTCTGATAGAGTTTTAAAGTTTACTGATGATTTAATTGAGTTGGGTTTTAGACGGGATCGTCTTAGTAAAATATACTTATCAGTGGTAAAGAGGCACGGGCTAAAGAATAAGTTTGGTATTGGGTGTGGAAATATATTAATGCCATAGCTTGACCTATGGCATCCTTTTCTAATGTTGCAAAATATTTGTCGCACGTGTTGAATTTAGTTTTATAATAAATTTGCGGCGGCGCAAATCGGAGTCTTAGAATTACGCGGGAAATTACGCGGGAGTAATTGGAGTTTGGGGCAGTTCGTTTTATGACGTATCGACTACGTTTGCTTAGTATACTTTATTCCTACCGTTTTATTACATTTTTTACTTTATCTACCTATCACTATACAGTATACATATTTAATCTTAAATTATCATTTTAGTGGAACTATGTAAAAGGGGATCGTTGCTAGCGTTAAAACTGTTTTAACCCTGCCATAGTCAGTTGAAAGTCTGATAGCATATGTTCCGTTTGATTTGACCAAACTAATGCCTTTCATTGCTTTATAGCCTCGAATCAGCAATTGTGCGGCCTTTTGTCACTGACCAATACAATTAAATTGTAAAACCATTATTCTGAGTATACAATAACCCTTTTATTACATTTTTAGTGAACACATTGTTACCTGGGGACCCCAAGCTATTTATATGTTCAATGTTCATAATAGAGATCAGATTCGGCGGAATGACGTACAGGCTGAGTGCCGCCCAGTAAACACGTTGCGGTTTTACTTATATAAATTACTACCATCACCGGCACTGCCTAGCATTAACATTTAAAACATATGATCGTTGTTCTGCTCACTAAGCAGTGCACATACTAACATGGTTAAACTATAAATATTAAAGATGGATTGAACATATAAAGTGACTTACTTACAATAAGCTTACATCTTCATTGGCGCACAGCCCATGCAGGGAGCTGGAAAAAAAATCAGTACATATATTGGGGCTTATTTTTCAGTAACAGAGTCACTCAGTTACTGCAGAGTGCCCTATTGAAATAATTTTTTATGGTACGACTTGCTATCATCAATCATTCGAGGAATACATGAAATCAAATAATATCGATGTTCATTTTTTTCCGAATTAATCGTTATATCCGTGTTTTTTTGTTGTTGATATTTTTGATCGGATCGAGTCAAATTGTAATGTATTGTGCTTGGCCTTTTGATATATATAACACATGAACTTTAAAAAGTGGAAACCTTAGCTTCTAAATTAACCGATATTAGTAATAATATATTATTACTACGTGTGATCAGGTGATTGGGTTGACACTAGATCCGCACTAGATCCGCACTATATGGAAATCGTGCAGAAAGCCCAATTATACGGTATATAACTAGCACGCTATCACATGATTTTTTAAATGGATTTTTTACTTGTAGCATGTTCGCAAACACGCCTATAATAAGCAATTCAATGTTGATTGGGTGTGGCCTCTAAACCTCGAATTTCCAAATTTTGGCCACGGAATCCCCGAATGAGTATTTTCAGCTTTACAGTATACCATCTTCAGATGTGAAGCAGGGCTACGTTAAAAGGCCCAACGTATCATGTGTATACTGACTTGTTTAGATCCTCCAGTTACGTTGACCTTGTAACAACTAGTAACTGTTAGTAACAAATAGTAACCGTTTATAGTAACTGCACTAGTAACAGTTACTAAGAGTTACGAAATATGCAACTTACCGGTGTGACACGAGGAGACAGGGACCAGCTCTAATGTTACAACATGTTTAGATCCCCCAGCTACGTTGACCAGGGTCAGTCTGGACTTTCCCACTATTGCGTTGTTCGTCTGCGGAAGTAATGGAATTATGATTGTTAAAAATACACTTTGTTAAAAATACACTTTGTTGTAGTTTGAATTGTAAGTTTTTAAACGAATTGTGGTCTTTGCAAACCTGCACATTAGTTAAATGGAGACCACCCACAATTTCTTTCGTTTAAAACTTCCTTTCACGTTTACTTTAAATTTAATAGTTCCCTTTAAGTTTGTATCGTCTAGACAGACCCGCAGTATCCGCTAGTAACTATATAACATAAAACTTACAGAGGAAGATATCTCCAGTTTGTTCAGGAACCACTTGAGTTGAGGGAGTGGTTGGGCAGTAACGGAGGCAGTAATAGTTACGTTGTCTCCTGGTCTTAGGGAGGTCGATGGAGCCATTAACACCGCCGATATCGGCTCTGAACAAATTCAGTTTTAATTAGGGGTTGTTCACAAATAACGTAATCACGTTTTGGACAATATTTAACACCCCCTCCCCTCCGTAATCAGTTTTACACATAGCTATTGTGTCAAACTTACACTAGCGTAATCATTTGGAAACCACCTGCACCCCGCTCGGCAGATTACCTAATATGTGAACGACGGACCCTATATCATAAAGCTATTTATACCAGGTTTGATTTCTAGAGTTCTAGAGTCAATACGACTTAGCACGTTACATGTTTTGCACATGTCAGGTACCGCAGGTACAAGTCTAGCAGAGTCTACGACTATTTGCTTATATCGCTTGACATTTGACAACCGTTTAATCTTATTGATTTAACTGATTTTATTGATTTAACTCAGGCTGTCTGCTTAAGATGCTTGCTTACCATTTAAATTAAATTATTCGTCGCGAGTTTAAAGATCTGTTCTTAATTCTTATACTCACTAACTACTTCCAATAAGTTCCCAGTAGCAATTATTAATAATAATTTGACTAACCATAAATCTCGAGGTCAGTATGAACGTACAACGGAGTACCGTCTTTCGAGTCTGCGATTTCAAAGTGGACACTTTTCGTATCCGATGTTATCGAGCTGAAAAAGCTGAGCTAGTACGGTGGGACCTCGTCAGAATATAAGTTGACTGTTACATCGCTTCCTCAAATTAGTTATGTAGTTGTAGTGTGGTTATAGTATTTATAAAGCTGTCACTTTATAGTCGAGACAGAATTAATAATATTAATTTATATTTCATTGTGTAGTAGTCAGTCATGCAGCTCAATCAAATTATACTTAGGAGGCGGAATTGTTTAATAGTTTAACAAAAAAAAAGAAACAAAAAGGGAATAACAAAACGCGTATAACAATTAAAGCGAAACAAAAAATATTATCAAAGATAATCCAAATTTTTTAAATGTTGTTCAAACTCATAAATTTTGACAATTAAGCAAACCTGATAAAAGCCTCATACTCCACAAAGCCAGGGTCTATCTGAATGGATGTGTTTTGGAAACTTGGCAACACTTCCGAGATAGTTGTAACGTTCCATTTAATGTATCTTGGCTCCGGGTAGACTGGGTGAATTTTGGTTGTGGTAGCTTTATAGTTACTTTCAGTCTCAAATGATGATCAATGGAAAAATCACAAAAAATGAGATTTTGTCTAGAAATCCAACCACAAATGCATTGTGCGAATGGGTGCAGATCCTAGAAAAAAATTGGCCCGAGAATTTAAAAAATGAAGATTAAAAAGTCTAACCTGCAATGATATGAGCAATAGAAATATCTGCATTTGAGGACGCGCACACCTTAGTAATACACTTATAACAAGACAGCGAATCTGAAGGTATCTGTATTAATACAATTGTAACGATCTATTTTGTTACATACACGTAAAAAACAACAAAAATCTTTATAATTATAAATGTATGTAAAGATTATACATAATACATTTCTCTTTGCTGTTTTTCATTTGACACGTCATGTCGAATTTGATAAATCATAATGAAAGCCCATAGATAATACATTTTAACCTAAATCAATGTCATCACACAGATTAATTTATTTCAGAGGTTAAACTTATTTTTAAATGAATGAACAAACTTACATGTGTTAACTACATTAGTAGTTTTCCTGTCACCTCCCCAAATGTTCTCCGCTGAGCACTCAATCCTGGTAGTTCCCAACTGGGAGTTTTTAACTCTGACCTGATAACTTCCTTCTCCTGAGGTTTAGAATATTACCATGGTAACCAATGCAATATAATACTACCATGGTAACCAAGGTTACCATGTATATGTGGTTAGCTATCATTGGCCACATGTAGTCACAACCAACTTATATAACAGCTATATGCTTTCAATAAGTATTCCGTTCAGATTACATTTTCTTAAAAGTTACCCGTCGAATTCCAGGAATATTTTTCAAAGATGTGTGCTTACTGATCATGTTTATAACATAAACCAGATTATAATAACAGCTGAAGATATTATAATATCCAACTAGTGTGACTTACCAAGGTAACCAGTGTGACTTACCAAGGTTATATACGAGTATTCCGGGTGAATTAGAGCCGGAGGTTGAGTTTAAACCGTTGATCAGAACTGTCACAATCGGTGTAGGCACCTGCGGAGTATGCGATGACGTCACTAGGCAATGACGTCACTAGGCAATGACGTCACTAGGCCAATGATCATTCCTCCAACTCTTTAAAATGTTTAGCGCGCATGCTTTTAATTTGTTGACTACGGTGCCGTTTCACCATCGTTCAGATTATAATGCTATTTTGATCATTCATTCATGATTGGATTATGTTTCAACTTTTCAATGTTTATATTTTTGGTCAGTATTTGATGAAAGCTTCAAACCGAATCATGGTTACAACACAACAATCAGCCTCAGAGTTGAAAACAATATAATAACTGCGGTGACACACGTTGCTTTGTATAAAAGGGTATAAACGCAACGTGTAGCAATAACTGTGGTAGATTTCATCATATCTTGCTCTGTTTTCCAATACAGCAATACTACATATTATACTATTATGCATGATATTATGTTCTTACCCCAGTAGAATTGCAAAATATATCAGTTGGTTCAGTTTCGTTATATCTGCTGTTTCTTTCTACTGGTGGCGATAGCTCTACCTCTGCTTCACCTGGTGGACAATGAATAGCCTATATAATCGTATAACAAGAGGAAGGTTATATTCTTATATAAAACCTAGAGAATTGTTTATGTTAAACCTAAGAAATTATCAAAATTAAACCTCCAAACTCCAAAGCTCCTTCAAATTTTATGCTGCAATGGTTTAAATATAGTAAGCTGAATGATTTCTAGAGAGTAGAGACAGATACGTTTAGCTTAGAAGCTTTTATATGTCATGTGTTAATCGTCTTCAACAACCCACTGATCTACATAGTCTGATCCAAGTCTATAGACAGTATATTTTTGACTAATTTGATTTATAGTTTATAATTTGGCGATCAAAATTCAATTGTTGCTAGACTTTAATAAGTTTAATCTTTAAAGTGATCCTCGGCGCTCGCAGTCGCATTTATTATAAATTCTATTGTTAGTGTTTTCAGAAATCATGGCATGATGCACTTAGCAGCCCTATATAATAAAGTGCGTACTGCGTCTGGTTCAATTGAAACCAGTTTTAATTTTAACTCTTCCCTAATAAAACCACTATTTCAGATCTTAAAACTGGTCAATTTATCTATCAACTACCTTATCGGACCATATTTGACTGGACATTAAATGAACGGACATAATTATGAACGGACATTAAATTGAACGCTCTAGGCATTCAAAACCATAAAAAATCCAAATTTGTTCCTCTTTTTTTTGGCGTTTTTAAAATTTCAGCAGATAATTCGTAAATTACTTTTTCATACAATGAGCAAGAAAGGCAGTCGTTAAGCAGTAAAAAATTTCAAAATATCTGTAGATCAGTGTCTATGATTATGAAAGTTGTGTAAAAACAACAGATATGAAATATGACTAGACTTGATAATCATATCACAGGTCATCTTCCTCAAATTGGTTATCGTGCATTAAATTATTCCATGCTTAAAGCATCATATCAATAATTGGTAATACCTGCTTTTTGAAAAAAAAATTTTATGTGACCACCTCAGTCCTGCATTTCAGTGTAAACTTTTACAAGATGTGGAGGTAAGTGGATGAGGAAGCCGAAGATCAAGAAGGTGATCATACCATAATGTGATACTTAGAACTTTAGACTATTTAAATTGTATAGTAACTCGTTTTTCATTGATCCAATGATATATAGTTTAGTCCGAATCCGATGATATAAGAAATTACAATTGACTGAAATTAAAAAGTTGTCATATCCTAAACATGAGTTCGCAGTGGAATAATATTGGAAAAAATCTTAACGGACTTCAACTTGGACGGACCTTAAACGGACGGACTTTATTTGAACGGAAATTTAGATGAACGCTAGGACCTCCAGCGTTCAATTAATTTCCGTTCAAATAAAGTAATACAAATTTCATCTATGACTATACTACTCACGATAAAATAGCAACCGGAGCTCTCTTTCATCTACATCCCCCAACACATTGATAGCTTTACAGCTCCAATTACCGACAAGTTCTGCAGACATTAGATAAGTGTAGGTCAGCACAACGTATTCTCCCAAACTAGAATCAGATTTTCTGTAAGACCCTGGTTAGTACACAATAATTACAGTAAAAGCCCCTGTTTAACGGGGTAGTAAAGATTCGCGGTAAATCGGGGTCCGTGGTAAATTATTGGGGTTTTGTTTGTTTAAAAGTTTAAATTATGCGAGGCCTTATAATTGGGGGAGTGGGAATGGTCGCTGCAAATCGGGTTGTGTGGTAAATATATATTGGGGTTTTACTGTATAGATACCCCAAGTGGGGTATTAAAAACATCTAGTAATACAGAAAATTGTTCACATTTTCAGAAATAATCCAGCATACTTCCAAACTATAAGTGCTTTGATTAATTAATTACTTTGCGGTGCTTAACACTCTTAACACTCTCAATAAGTATGTTTACTTCGGATAGTCGGGCTTCACAAAGATAATGTTTTGTGTTGCTCAAATACACATAATCACCAATCGCTTAACACTCAATGAAATTCACTACTATATGAATAAACATTTTTGAGATTATACGAAAATGTGGTTAGAATTATAAGGAAAAGAATTGTAAAATTTGTTTTAGTTTTCCACTACAATTTAATCACCGATGTAAACAATAAAAGTGCTGAAAAGCTTGAACAGAGAACTCACAAATGAGTAGTAACATTCATTACTTTATCCCCTTGCCGGTATAAAGTGAGGTTCACAGCTGGCTGTCCGTGTCCGATACAGGTTATTATTCCCACATTACCCACAGGTACATCCTTGTAGTCCAGCGTCACGTTAGGCTTATCTAAAAGTAAAAGGAGATTGATTAAAGGAATTAAACAGTAATTAAACATTAAATTATCAGAGGGAGCACTAACACTCCCGTCTAGACTATGCAAGTACGGTAGCAAAGTATTAAAAGAAAAACTCGAGATTCCAAAACGAACACCAAAAAATTTAACTTTGCACGTAAAGAGTGTTTTACAAATCCTGGATGTTCTTTAAAGTTCACAATTTTCACAAGTGTAATATAAGAAATATTCCTTATTGTGATCAGCATGCTGCATGATTAGATATCTTAATTTACCGTAATCAATAGAAAGGATAGTCGATGTAGTCATTGTCATTCCCCATTCGTTCTTCACTGTACAAACGTATTCCCCTTCATCGGCAAACCCAAACGATTCAATTACCAGAGGATCCTGAATGAATTTATTTACGTAAAAGTTTCAAGATATTTAGAGCATACTTGATCCTCATCTTAAACTTTCCAATCATGAAAATGTCATTTAATAATGATATTTAATAATACGGAGCATGATTCTGACCTGCCCCTCTGTAGTGACGGTGGTACCAGAAGGTAAGCTCCAAACCGTGCCACTAGGTGCCGGGTGTCCCTCTACAGGACAAACTAATTCGTACCCTTTTGTCTCTATGTAAACCGTCCTTTCTAATGTCAGGTTTTCTTGTAGGTGGAACGGTTCTGTGAATAGTCAGGTGATATTAATAACGATACAATTTCGTGGTTACTATAAATAGTTTCAACGTTACTAGCATCATCAGAACTGTTTATTTTCTACCGGGTTGTTTTTGTTGCAATAAGAAATTGTTTCCAGTTATTGAGTTTTATGATTAATGCAGCTTCGCAAACTGTGCGTGTGCACAGTGGATTGAGCTCGCCATGTTGTTGATTACTTATGGTTGCGAGAACCTTTGAAGATGAAATGTTCTTTGTTAATGGACATTTTAACAGATTTTAAAAGGATCATACAAACTTTTGTAGATTTAAAACGAAAAATAATCTATTTTCCTAACTATAGCGCTATAATCTATAGGCAAAAACTTTCATAGAAAATCTTGGTTTTGTAACATTTTAAGTCCATTAGTACTTTTTTAAATTATAGAATCATCACCCCAATTTGGCGGGGATTTCACTATTAGTAATTATAATCGAATCAATGTCATGATTGTAGTCATTTAACACACCGCAGTTATTATTATTTTAAAAATGAAAATGAAGTCTTTACGTTGCAGATGGTTGATGGATATTATCAGATTGAATGCAAAAACTTTACACTTTCTATATACAAAATCTTTATGTTTAAATCTCCAAACATTTTGTCACGTTTTTCTTTTAAATAATGATTTTCCTTACCATGAACGTACAAGATTCGTGTCGCGGACAGACTTCCAAACTCATTTACTCCTCTGCACAGGAGTAAAACTGATTCAACACTTTTGTTGGTCAACCAGGAAAATGAATACGTGCTATCTTGTGCCATGAGAAATGCTCCTTCATCAATCTCTATTTCATCTGCTTGCGGAGGTTCATTGGTAGGCTTAATGCGGTTTATGTTAGTCAGGTAGACTTTTGGTTCAGGAGCAGGATACCCATCAATTTTGCAGCTGAAATACGTATGTTTTTTAGTATTTTTTATCGTTGTTTGAAAATTTGACATGATTATTAAGAAATCTGGATGTTTTATCTTTTTACAAAAAGAATTTTGTTTAACAATTAATGCTGGATACTTACAGAATGTTAATCATAGTTCCAGATGTTACATTTAGAAGCTGTGGTTCAAATTCTTCAGTCCAAAAGGGTTTACCTAAAAACACAGATCAATAATTATCAGTATATCCCGCAATAGGAGAACGAATGAGTTTAAAAACTTTCCAATTCAATCTTTACAACATGGGCAGAATATTTTTGTTCATCATCAGCTGTACCTCAAATTATTTGTTATATAGTAGTGTTGAAAGTATTATAATTAGATTAAATTACCTGAAATATGTTACGAAATCAGCCACTTAGTAGCAAATTCTATTTGGCAGAAAGCTATGCTGGCTGTGGCAAAAATGGGGATCCAAAATACTTAAGGCTTATAATGACACATAATTGGTTTGCTTTCATGGGGCTTACAATGGCCAACGATGACGTAAAATTGCGCACAATGAGGTACAACAATCGTTCAATCTAATCAAACTGTGACTATAGCTGAGAGAGTTGCTGACACCAATCAACAAGAAGCCTAACAAAAGAACAACTTACAACATTAAACCGCCAATCTTAATCAACAAAGCAAGAATCTGCATTGATATTGTCACTTTCGATCTTGCATTATTTTTATTGTTCACGATTATTAATTAAATAAATAAAGATATAAAGTTGTCAACCCAACAATTTGTTTAATTTGTTCAATATAATGGAATGATCTATCATTTGTAGTGGTTCACTACTGACATAGTTAGATAGTTGGGGGAAACACACTCCACGAGCTTTTAAAAGCAATTAACGAACTCCGCGAGCTTTTAAAAGGTTGTATAACCGAACTACACGAGCTTTTTAAAGGTTTAATAGTATAATAACCGAACTCCACGAGCTTTTAAAAGGTTTAATAGTATAATAACCGAACTCCAAACCTAGCATATAAACTAATAATAATACTGGGAATCAGACTCACTGAGTATGAGGATGTCGATATAGTCACTGTCACTCCCAAAGTTATTCTCTCCGCTGCAACTGAATCTTCCCGTATCTTCTAGGTTTGCTGATTCGATCGTAACGAGACTTGAACTGCTTTCATCACTTATTGTTTTAGTTAACTCCTCTTCATCTGTAAAAATTAAATTCAATTATAGTTGTATTTTTTAACTATAAGTGGCAGTGCTAGCTGACGAGTAATATCGCAATATCCAATTTTGACATTTTAAAGTTAGAATCGACATAGGAAATTTGTATTTTTCATAATATTTGTTGTTGATATAAGCGGGATGTAGATTCAATATTTCATTTTATTTCATGCTGAGTTTTGTACGACCATCAACGTATGAAAAATGTGTAAAGCTGTTGCATGGGTTTCACTGTTCAGTTATACCTAAAGCTCTAAAGGGTTGAAACGCTCCTGAAACCGTTACACTGCCTAGCTGCTTAACCGGATCTCTTGAACCACTTAGCGCAATTTTGTGCTCTATTGACTTATTGATAATTTCTGTTCGACTATATTACTCGCCGTAAAATATTACGCCAGTAGTAGATATATAGCAACAGTTCTCGTCACTTAATTGAATCAGTAACGGTCTCCGTTGTGCAAGTGCTGTGGTTACCTGGGGACCCCAGGCTATAATGTTCATAAACTATTATGTTCATAAACAATAAACATAGAATAGAGATTCGGCGGAATGACAGGCTGAGCGCCGCCCAATAAGTGCTGTGGGTAAGTTGAGTACGTTCAGTGTTAAATTTTGTACAGTTCCCAAGGTTTATGATATAACGAATAATTTATTTGGGTGTTAAAGAATTGTTCAGAGCACGATACATGTGTTTTAAAGAAAAAAATCCATCGAAGCTGATAGCTTTCAAAGTTCTTATTGTACGAAATTATACATATGAAGCAATGTGTAGCTAGGTATCCACCCCTCGAATTTACGGTTCGCACATTGTCGTATTTCGTGTTTCCGATGTCTCTTAGGTCAACAGAATCAACGTCAATTGTAGCCTCTTCAATTAGATCGATGAGATATTTCAAGTGCAACTCATCAAAACTACAAAGCTGCCATATAGCCTGACTGACAATTTTCTCGACTGACTGACAATGTTTCTTCTTTTTCCCCATTTAGAATACAAAGATTAGTACATTTTAGCTTATGATTAATATTATATTTTTACCTATAGTTTACCTAGACTGTATAATTCCTCTGCCCGATCAACAGGTTTTGATGTGTCATCCTTTGTATCCATGCAGATGCAATCATGAGCGCTAGCTGACGAGTAATATCGCAATATCCTATTTTGACATTTTTAAGTTAGAATCGACATATGAAATTTTTATTTTTCATAATATTTGTTGTTGATATAACTATAAGCGGGATATAGATGCAATATTTCATTTTAATTCATACTGATTTTTCATTTTTTTATGAAAAGATATGTATAGCTGCTGCAAGGGTTTCACTGTTCAGTTATATATAATAAAGCTCTAAAGGGTTGAAAGTTTCAACTTGAAACGCTCCTAAAACCGTAATTACACTGCCTAGCTGCTTAACCGGATCTGTTGAACCACTTAGCAAAATTTTGTGCTATATCAATACATTCTGTTCGATTATACTTCCATGGAACACTCGCCGTAAAATATTACGTCTCAATTTTTAGAGTTCTGATCGTCTTTATGAATTGCTGTATTACCAAAACGAGTTCGTTAGTGTTCTCCTTGGTCATTTCATGTTTAATTCCTGTTTAATTCCTGTTTAATTCCTGTTTAATTCCTGTTTAATTCTGCACTGCTTCCCTACGGAAATTGTGTCGTACCGCGGCATTCCTGTCGTAAAGCACATGGTATTGATCCTCACACGACAGTTAAATACGACAGCTTTATTGACTGTCGTATTTACGACAGTAAACCGTCGTATATTTGTAGGGTTACAACACTAATTACAAAGTCCTAAACAAATTAAACCGATTTAGTCTCATTAACGGTTATGTAACATGCACCAGACGTCATAAAGTCAGAACCATGGTCCATGAGCAACGACATCTTCGTCATGGAGGTGGCGCAGTAATTACTAGTAAAGTTCATTTCGATAACGAGGTCTGATCGTCATCTTCTTACAGCGTTTGATGTCTGTGTGAAGGTTAAATGGTGACATCCTCTGGATCAGGCATTCATTCGTAATTGCAGCGAATAGACCGAAAAACGCTCCATTTTTTCGTGAGTTTATTGTAATATATCGATATCTTTCGCAAAATTCAAAATGCTAGACGTACATAAAACATCTGATAAAGACGCTTTTTAGCGTTTTAAATCAGTATTACGACTTGAATTGTTCTTTAGAATACTTTTAAATACAGCCACACCTTTTCATTGACGTTGTTGGAGAGGTGCAACTTTAACATATAGTACAGTCCCAGATCGTACTACGTCAATGGAGAGGTGTGACTGTAATTATACCTTTAAATGTATCACTAGAACCATCATAGTATTGTCTTATGGTTATTTTACCATACACCATAATCTAAACGTGATGGTTAGTGCTAACTATAAGTAATATAACTAGGGCTGATTATCACGTTGTGCCACCCATGGCGCTTGCTGGCGCGAGTTAGTCAGTTAGCGCTATAAAAGTGATAGCCAGCGCTCATGACTATCTAATAGTGGCGAGCTCGACAGTTAGCGCTAGTTAGCACTATGACTAACAAGCGCAAAATATCAAAATTGGATTTAGTACAAATCATCGCGTTTAGACTATCGCAAAATTATCTATCTTAGCAAGTCATAACAGGAAAAATTAATTCGATCGAACATATGATTCACATCCTGCAGTGTACGTATACTGACACCCCCCCCCCCCCCCCCCCCCCCCCAGAGGAAACAAAATGTTTACATTACCTTTGTACCAGATTGTCTCGGGTAAGGGTATTCCAGTCCCTTCACATTTCAGTTCTATCCGGTCCCCTCTGGTGACCGTTGCGTTCTCCGTCGTTACTTTAATTTCAGGTTCCTCTAAAAAATGATTGAGAACTTAATATTTGTCTCATTTACACAATTACGCACCAAAATATGTAAGGTGTAAGCGTTGTCAAATGGTTTATATAAATTATTCAGTCTGTGATGCGATATGAATGGATGATGTGGGAATTTGTTCCCCTAAATTATTGAAGTGCAATAATCGGTGCGCTAACCGGCAAAGATAGCCTCACAGCTATTAATTTATCAGAGCTGGAATAGTATTTCTTGCTCATTATTTGCAATGTGATAATATTAACTGAGAACATTTGTTCACTTATAACTTTAAGTTTATTCTTTTATTGCTCGCATAATCATAATGTGAATAAAGTGATTTTTTCACTTATCACTTATGTGCTAAAATCTGTTAAATAATTCCTTGTTGATGCTATTTTCAGACTAAATAGTATCATCCAAAGATGAAAAAAGCCGTGAGGTGGGTTCGATTTAAATTTTAACGTTGTAAGCTATCGATCGCAGTGCAGTTTAAAATGCCATCACAATGAACACATTAAAAAGGCAGCTTTTATTTTTTACCATTTCATTACTGTTATTTTTTCCTCATAGTGAACATGAAATCTATCATGAATAGGATCACAATATCCAGGTATAACTCTTTTTTGTTGTTGATCAGAAACAAATATTTGGTATAATACTCATCATTCTATTAGAATGTGCGAAAAATCGCAATTTGCTTCGATATCAGTTATAATAGAATTTATTGTTCTATTATTTCATTAAAAGACAATATTTCGTCCATTTTCAATGATCACAGATTATAAAGTCATGCACCAACCGTAAACAAAGAGACTGAACATCTTCTCCGCTCGAAAGAATTCGTTATCAGCCACACATGAGTAATCCCCTGTGTCATTTTCGCTAACATTCTCGATACTTAATGTACCCACTCCGGAAACTGTTTCATCTTTGAAGTCCTGTTACGAATTATAGTTATGAATATATTTTCTACTCTACATACAAAATTTTTAACTTTGGACTTTGGTCGTAGTTTTTGTGGTGTCTGTGACGAATATTGATATATACATCGCATAGCGTGATACAAATATAAAATTAGGTTTATATTTCCTACCAGACGTAGAGAAAATAATTTAATCAGAAACAGGACGTTAAATTAACCGTTTTATAAATATTCCTTCCACACAATATAATCATTAAGTTTTAAGGAAGCAACTTTATGATATCTGAATTCTGAACTATATAATGACCATTTTTTAATGAGGAAAATTTAATTTCCAGTCTATGAAGCAACTAACAACTGTGTTAATTTCTCAACTCTACTAATCGATTGGAGTGAACAGGTTGGGATGTTGCACAAATTATCTTCATCATTCCTCAATAAAAAAGATCCAAACTGTAATGAAATTAATCTATATTCTTACTTGGTCAGCTTACCCATTCTATTGATGCAGCAGGTTGACTTTCTGAGGAACAAATGATTCGAACGTCTTCCCCCAAGCTTACGTTTAGAGAATGCTGCGTCAAAGTAATCAAAGGCTCCTCTGAGAAGATAATTGAGTTTTTGAAGACTGAGTATAAATCACAGGAAAATGTTGCTTTATTCATGGTGAAATGGGAATTAGACTGAGTATAAATCACAAGAAAATGTTGCTTTATTCATGGTGAAATGGGAATTAGACTGGGTATAACTCACAGGAAAATATTGCTTAATTCATGGTGAAATGGGAATTAGACTGAGTATAAATCACAGGAAAATATTGCTTTTTTCATGGTGAAATGGGAATTAGACTGAGTATAAATCACAGGAAAATATTGCTTTCAGGAAAATATTCATGGTGAAATGGGAATTAGACTGAGTATAAATCACAGGAAAATATTGCTTTTTTCATGGTGAAATGGGAATTAGACTGAGTATAAATCACAGGAAAATATTGCTTTATTCATGGTGAAATGGGAATTAGACTGAGTATAAATCACAGGAAAATATTGCTTTATTCATGGTGAAATGGGAATTAGACTGGGTATAACTCACAGGAAAATATTGCTTAATTCATGGTGAAATGGGAATTAGACTGAGTATAAATCACAGGAAAATATTGCTTTTTTCATGGTGAAATGGGAATTAGACTGAGTATAAATCACAGGAAAATATTGCTTTATTCATGGTGAAATGGGAATTAGACTGAGTATAAATCACAGGAAAATATTGCTTTATTCATGGTGAAATGGGAATTAGACTAAGTATAAATCACAGGTAAATATTGCTTTATTCATGGTGAAATGGGAATTCCAATTTGTGTCCACGTGATAACTGTTAAACAGTTATAGTAAAAATATCAAATTATTAAAATAACAAGTTAATTGGATCTTTACCGGCAAGTGCAATTGTTGTTGTTGCCAGATCCTCCCCTCCTGAGTTTTCAGCGGTGCAAGTGTAATCACCTAGATCATTTTCAGATACCACTGTTAGATTCAGCTGTCCTGAGCTTGACACGCTTTTTCCTGTAAAATTTCAGATTGATCTTAAAAAGGGTCAGAGGAATGGGATACGCATTTTTAAATTTATCTTCAGTATCAAAGACAAATAGATTGCTTTGCACATGACCCAAATATAAACTTTTTCAAAAAAGACTTTCATCAAGATATTGCATATATTAATAATATATGCAATATCTTGATGAAAGAATTTTTTTGTCAGAATAATATATTGTATTATTCTGACATGAATTCTTCATTATGCTATTATATGTAGCATCACTTTGTCGTCTAAAAACTAGGTTTTCATCGCCGTATTGGATCTTAGTTATGCTAACAACATTTATGTTTCGTTCTGCTCACCTTTAAAACTCCATGATATTTCAGGGGATGGGGTTCCAGTAGCTGTACAGATTATCTCGATCCAATCCCCAGTCGTCTTGACAAAGTGATTCGTCTTTAATCCCTCGATCTTTGGTAACTCTGTTAGAGCAGAAAACTTTAAGCCAAATATTATCCTATTGACATAAATTATATGTAAAAATGTCCAAATTGTTGTATACAGCACACTGGCCCATTAAGTAGTGTACTAGTTTCACAAAGTCTGCACTCTGCAGGTACTTCAATATAAACAACTAGGTAACCTTAGGCTTCCTTTAAACATCAAATTAATTCGTTTTTACTCTAGTTTTGATGGTAATATAAATGGCATAACATATTTTAAAATTTGTTGTTTGATTGAACTGTGTACTAAAGGAAACCATAATGATGCGCAGTAGTCATGCAAAAAATGTTGGACCAGTCACCAGACCGGTGTAACATAACGACTACTCAAACGTCGTCTTAGTTCGCCTCTCTCTTCCACACTCAACCACCACTTAAATCATCCTTGATTACACATCTTGATTCCACCGGCATCCTCCCACAGGACTGCCATACCCCAGAGGTAGGCAAAGCATCCATATGCTATCCTCTCGTGGGCCAACCAGGCCCAGCCTCTCTTTTAAAAACTTTTTTTTTAAGTATGCAAAAAATGTAACTTTCTGGGTACACAAATTGGTGCCACATTCAACATTCGTTTTTGTTGCAGATGACTTCATTGGCCTGTAAAATTATTCATTGCCATCATCATGGACGTGCATGGTATCTGTATTGAGTATGGAAACTGTAAATTTCGCAAGTTTTAATGTAAGAAAGTCTGCCTGCACGTGGGATATTTTAGTGTTGTTATATTCAAACTTCAAGCTTGCTACTTACAAATTCTATCGGCTGACCTCAATCTGCAAATTAAATTACTTTATAACCACTTCCATCGAACCCGGGCATCAAGCAGCAGTTCAATCTAATTCTTACGGGAGTATTGCAGTTCAATCTTTCATTATTTTATAATTCCAACTGGAGTATTGAATTCCATGGAAATAAATAGCTGAATGACGTATCGACATTTCTACGTCCGGAGTATTGAATTCGAGTCTTCTTATAGAGTTATATAGTTCTCAAGTTCAATTCTCACTTCAGCAGCTTTGCATTTTGTTGCTTTAAAAGAATCATCTTTCCCGGAAATCGATCAAAATTTCAGATCATTAATTTTAAAATATCATTCCACGATCATTGTAAAATATAACATATTATTAAGTAAGGATTATACAGCGAAAAGTTATTCACCAAAGGAAAGACAGTTACTTAATCTAATGTAAATGAGTGGTCCACGAGTAAATTCCTCATCCACGAAATCAGCGGCCTCCGTAGGTCCAATAGAAATAAAAATTCGTAGTTGTTTTTGCTGATAATTGGGGTTAATTCCAGCGTCCAGATTTGTAAACAAAACTTTTGCTTGAATTTTATTTTATTACAATTTTTATAAATTTGCGGCGTGCCAATAAAATAACGACTTGATGATCGTATTCGCATTTATTGCAGTTTGTTACGATTAATTTCATTTGACCTCACTTTTCTATTTAGTTTTGATATATTTTCTATAGTAGGTATGTTTTTTCAGGAGTGCCCACTGGGGTTTTATTATGATTATGATGTAGTTAATAAATTTTAATTAGTCCATTAGAGAGAATCCCCTCACGAGGGGCTTTCAATCAATCTACTTGAGTCACCTATATCATGCTAAACTTATCTTCACAAAGGATCATATTCGCTCACTAAATTCGAGTTCGAATCAGTTTTTAAAAAAATTGTCTTTATCTCATCTGAGTTGTGATGCGTTGTTTAAAGGTCATTCAAAGTTTAGGTTATTGGGTTAAATCCCACTTACAATTTAAGAATTATTTTAATTACTGTCCCCAATACTTTCATTTTCACACTTATCAATCTCTGTCATACTAACAGTAACAAGAATTGCGCCCGTTGTTTCGTTTTGGCGGACGCTAGATTTCCATTTCACATTTACTATAAATTTAAGTATAACCTCCAATCAGCTCACTTCAATCTTCATAATAATAATATTGATAAATTATGCATTAAATACGGGAAACACTTGAAATTCAGTTCAATTGCCGTAGAACTTAACTTGCATCTGTAATTCAAGAAATTGGAAGCAAAGGTCAACTAAACTTGTGTACACATCAATACACTACGCGTGCCACGTACAAATTGGGCTTATAACCTAATATTATATATTACATCGTATACATTAAAACACAGTCGCGCCGCGCATTCATAGATCACAGGCTATTTATACATCACATCTCCGAAAGCAATCCTCGCGCGCGCAAATTTTTCGTTGCTTGGTAACATACGGAAGGAACACGACATATATATTATATTTGACCCACCTACCGCAATCTCCAAAATCCACGTTTTTCTGCAAAAACGACCATTCGTAACCTTTCACTATTACCTTTTTACAAAAGGGTGAAATGGAAAAAATAAGCTGCTTTAATACCCTCGCTGAAGTTTGGGTCTTATATGGAACGTTTAAACCGTTTAGACTTTAGATTCAAGTTATAAGACGGTATGCAGGTATGTCGGAAAATGTTAAATTTCATTTGATTTTGACACCATTTATTGAATTTTTCTGGTACTGGTAGTTGCATCAATGATTTAAACAAGAATTGCGCCCGTTGTTTCGTTTTGGCGGACGCTAGATTTCCATTTCACATTTACTATAAATTTAAGTATAAGCTCCAATCAGCTCACTTCAGTCTTCATGATAATAATATTGATAAATGATGCATTAAGTACAGGAAAAACTTGAAATTCAGTTCAATTGCCAAAGAACTTAACTTGTAAAGCAAAGAACTTAAATTGTAAGCAAAGGTAAACTATACTCGTGTACACATCAATATACACTACGCGTGCCACGTACAAATTGGGCTTATAACCTAATATTATACATTATATCGTATACATTATAACACAGTTGCGCCGCGCATTCATAGATCACAGGCTATCTATACATCACATCTCCGCAAGCAATCCTCGCGCGCGCAACTTTTTGTTTGCATGGTTACTAACGGAAGGAACACGACATACTCAGACCCACCTACTGCAATCTCCAAAATCCACGTTTTTCTGCAAAAACGTACATTCGTAACCTTTCACTATTGCCTTTTTTCAAAAGGGTGAAAAGGAAAAAATTGGAACGTGTGATAGGCTTTATGTCATATTTAAATAACCATTATATGATTTATAAACGGTTGAAGCCTCAATTTCTTATTTAATTATTAACCGATTTTGAAATAACCTTTTTTAGTTCTCACGTTGACTCCTGATTTTTGATGTTATGTGTTTAACTAACGAGAAAAATAACTGAAAAAATAAACAAATAAAAATAGTTACTCGGACATTCATTACATTAAATAGTAAGCTGAAATATAGGAGTTAACATAAAGGCAACCTCCAAGAAGAACGGCAAATGTCTTGGTATCTGTCCCTGCAGAGTTTGTCGCTTCGCATCTGTAATCTCCAGCTTCAGTTACCTCAAGCTCTTCTCCGCCGACCTGCAAACATTTTATGTAAGGTTCTATTTTTGTTATATTTTCGCCCCATTTTTTCCATTATGAGGATTAGATTCCTATTCGTTTTGAAGCGATATTAATTAGGGAAACTCTTAGAGTCTGGGAGGGAAAATTGATAATCTCTACCAGAATTTAGAACCAATATCAAATTAATTGCATGACTCAGATTAATATGTCGGTAAGTTGTGAATGAGGATTTAGGAATTAATGACATGGGTACTGCCATAAATGTGAGAAAATTGTGAGGAACATGAGAAAGATAATCAAATATATCATCATTACTTCATTAGAAATAGATTAATTGAGAAATATCTCATTTCATACAATGAAAGCTCAGTGCCCACTTGTAAACTTGTAAACTTGTGAATATTTGGGTAATGTTCTGATCGTCAAGCTATAAATAAAATGCTACCAAAGGTCAGTCGAAGCCAAATATCTGACAATTAAATGTATTCCCACGATTGTTTAATGACAATCAAGGACGGTTCAATGATAGTTATTCCCGATTTTATAAAACTTTAAACGATTGCTCCCGTAATTTAAGTTAATGAGTGAGTTTTGATCAAAGAATGACTGTAGAATTTTCCGTTTTAACGGTTGAGCTAGCAAGGTTCTTTTGAGGTCCTATGAATATCACAGAGTGTTGGACGGTGGAATAAGAGAATAAGAACAATCTTCTAGGTTCATTATCATGTTTATCATTTATGAGTTGCAATCTTATTAAAAGTTTGAAGTTTTTAAGGTAAATAAACCTTTTTATCTAAGAAACTCAACTTCAAATGAATAGATAAGGTCTGTGAAAAATATTGTGGCACGATACAGATACCGAATAGGTTTATGCACCATCCAAGCCTTAACTATAAGGTGATGTTTGGAGTATTTATACACAAAAGCATTATAAACAAAAGCATTATAGTGAGCGGAAACTTTCATTTATTCCACAGCAATCAATCATGAAGAGAGCGAGGAATAAAAAGTAAGTATATTTTTATTTTGTTTACACTTTTATTTTTGTTTACAAACAAACATTAGGGTACAAGTAGTAGTAGTACACTATATCATCAAAGGTCCCTTGAACCCCTTCTAATAAATTTATTAGTTATCGGTCTTGTAATATGATTGATTTGACCAAAACCCACAATCATGGGTAGAGTGGACCGCTGCCAGTGTCTCTCTTTCCCTCTCTATATTATGTATAAGAGTTGTAGGATTATAACCTACCAGGACGCGCGCCGAGTTGGACTCGTCGACGGTCCTAATATTTGAAACAAAGATTTTACGAGTATCACCCGTTAAGTATAAGAGGCACGGTCATGCTTGCCAGCACTGTGATCCAATCCTATTGGACTTTGGAGCAATTGCTTAATGTTTAGAAGCCCTGATTATGTCCACTTCTTAACACTTTTAAGATAAGTTCGGAATTGCTTATATAGTCCTACATATATATATTCCCTGGCTGTATGGGCCCTTGGTTCACATTTAGTCTGCTTAAAAAAGAAATAGTGTGGTATTTTATCAATAAAGGAAAGTTTATTCTTTGCTGATGAAACCGAACAGATTGAGCTTACAACCTTTGAATTTAAATACTGTCGTTCACTGCCGAGACATTTACAAGATCATAAAGTATTTTTGTGGTACGAGACTCAGTTTTCTTTTAAATTTTAATTTATTCGTCTGCCAGGTTTCTTTGATAGACTTTAAAGGCAGTATCAAAGGATGACGTGTATTATATTGTTTCCTCAAAGGCAGAGACAGACTAAAAACATTACGTGTCGAAGAAAACAGCAGTTATAGAAATAGCACGTTTGCAGTGCAGCTTGCTTTAAAAGCCTTAAAAGCTTAAATCAACTAATCTGCAATCTTAGTTTAATTTCCTGATCTCACTTTACAACAACCCATATTTGTGTGTTTAGATGGAGGTGGTGTTAGTGAGTCTAGGGGTAGAACTTTTACCTGTAATACGATAGTTTGCATTAAAACTTGACAATTGTGGAACGTTCTCGCGTTCGTTTCTGTTAAAGTGTTCCTATAAGAGAATAATTATGCAAGCTGTTCTGGTAATGGTTTCCATTACCAGAACCAGAGCCACTCATCGATCTATGGGTGAACAGCTTTTATTACGTTCTCAAGAGTCCTTGAAAAGTTTCAATGACCAAGTACAAACCCAGCAGGACCCAGGTATGTTATTTGCAGCCACACTTTAAAGTTTAAAGTGGGTGGCATCCGAGGCGTTTTTCACTTACTTTGGTATGCTTTCTAATAAATTTGTTGTAGGCTGTAGCTTTATGCATCACGCATGGAATGGGTGATCACTAACGGTGACAGTGGAGAATTACGAAAATTTAGCTCCGGTTATAAGACTAAGATGTAAGAGCTCCTTGGCTCCAGTTCATTTTTATTTTCTTGAACATTTAACTGCAGAATATGTCATACTGAGAAATTTAGTTTAATATTTCTTTCAGATTGATAGGGATATGCACAGTAAAACCACTACGCTCCTATAAATTGAGAATATGGTTACAATTAATGGTATTAGTACCCTGTTGCTTTGCAGCGGCTTATAGTAGGACGGAATAAAATCATATTTTTAATATTGGCATTTATAGCGGTGTGAGACCCGGCTGACAAGCTAAAACATGTCCTTATTGCAGTTGTTAACCACGGCTTGTCCCACCTAATTTACCACCAGTGCACGGTCACCGCTGCATAGCCGCGGGGTATTGAGTAACACATGCCCGTGTTGCAATTAACATCGTTAAGGAAGGAGTGACACGCATTTATAAATACATGACGCTCCCTCCATATTCACCATGCAGATGGCAACAATTGGGCATTGTTACCCCGCTACTACTAGTACATAACGCTCCTTTCGTATTCACCATGCTGATTGCATTTGCAACAAGGACATACAGTTAAGCCACTATAGTATGATCAATACTATGAACAGAATTGACTGCGCCTTGTTTAAAGGTGATCCTAGATTGGGATCGCCGCAACTTTTCCTTAACGATTTATTGGATAAAGCCAGTTGTGTAGCTCACCTTCGATAAGAGTTCCTCTAGTTCATTCTTTATTTTTGTGAACATTTAACTGAAGAATATGGTAACAAAAATGGCTACAATTTGACTTAATACTAAGTGGAATTTTAATATTTTCATACAGAATATGTTGCGTGGTGCAAGATATCGAAAAATAAATAAAATCTACTAAAACCAGGTACGAGGTAAGCTGACTACAATAGCACTACTATAGTAGTGCTATTGTAGTCAGCTTACCTCGTACCTGGTTTTAGTATATACTGCAGACAGCTTACCTGGTTATAGTAGATTTTAATTATTAGCAGATGTCCGTGAAATGGTTACTGATTTATGCACTCTCATGCGATTGGTTTGTATTTGCACATCTTGAGATATGGTTAGACCCCCTGCTTGTCAAAGGCAACTTGTCAAAGGCAGCCATGAATTCAAAGTGAACGGCAAGAAGGTTAAAGCTTCCCCTGGAAACTGCTTGAGTTAAAACATCATTTATTTGTTCCAATGTAGTTTCTGTGGAAAGGCTTAGGTCGGTCGCACTACTCACTCTCTACGGGTTAGGACTGGAGAACATAGGGTCAAATATAACAAACTTTTAAATGGTGATAAGGTAGATGAAACAAGTGATGAATATAGTTTGGGCTTACATTTGTTTGATCATGGTTTTAAACAAAAGGAGGATTTTAACAAAATTGTCAATGTTTCAATTATTGATAATTCTAGTCCTAAAACTTTAGAAGTTCGTGAACATAAATATATCCAACAACTCACTACGTTAAAACCTTTGGGAATAAACACTATAAAAACTTTTGGCCTTCCTTTACTCTTAACATCTTATTCTTAATTTTAATTATATAACCGTTTTAAGAGTGTTCAGATTTTTAAAGGAATTTTGGGTTTTACTAACTTTTTACAATTTTTAGGCTTATGTCACTGAAGATGACGCCTTGCAACATGTTTGACGATAGCCTGTAAATTGATAGTTTTATCTCAGTATTTACTACAAATCATCTAGCTTGATTGATTCAAAGGGAGAATTGAATTCCTCTGAAGATCCCCTGCTTTAACGGGACCCACTACCCCAGGCTAAAATATAGATTCGGCGGAATGACAAGCTGAGTGCCGCCCAGTTATATAACGGTCCAACACTGGACAGAATTAAACGCTCGCATAGAGATTTAAATTGCAAAATAGTCGAGTCTCACTTGCCATAGTCATATGTTTGTTGACTGAATATTTGTTTGGGCGTGCTCTGCTGCTCGAGTCTCGACGTATCCAGGATATAACATCGTCATCATATTGTTCTATTGGCCATATGTTTCATTTTTAAAGTATAAGCTTCAGTGATCGGTTCTTTTGCGATAGTGTAAACGCGATAGCTAGCGCTGGATAGCGCTAGATAGCGCTGAATGGCGCGATCAAGCGCCAACTAGCGCTTATTATCGCTATTTAACACTTATAGCTAGCGCAAACTACAAATTTGCGATAACTAGCGCTAGTTGGCGCTAGTTGGCGCTATAGTTGGCGCTAGTTGGCACTAGTTGGCTCTAGTTGGCGCTAGTTGGCGCTAGTTAGCGCTTATTGGCGCTAGTTGGCGCTAGTTGCCGCTAGTTGGCGCTAGTTGGCGCTAGTTGACACTAGTTGGCGCTAGTTGGCGCTAGTTGGCGATAGTTGGCGCTAGTTGGCGCTAGTTGGCGCCAACTTTCTATCGTCATAATAATAGGATCGTACGTGCCGCAAGCGCAAGAACCAAGATTATTCTGGAACTAATCAAACATACGCATTGGATCAAGATTATCCTGGAAAAAATCGAACATGTGGTCGAACATGCGCATTAATATTGTTGCCATTTCTGTTTGAAAAGTTACACGTCCCTGACGTCGCGTTTGACTTTGAGTTTTGACACGCTGGTCGTGTACAATCCACTTTTTTATTACCCATCTGGTGTTG